AAAGCTTTATATTTATGCTAAATAAATATTATTTTTAAAACAAATAAATATAGTTATTATAAACTCAGAGACAAATATATTTTTATTAACTTGAAATAAATTTTTTATTTCTCTCAAATAAATGCTAATAAAATATTTCTATTTGTACATACATATAATATCAGTTATAATATTTTCCTTTAATAAATATAAAAAAAAGAGTTATTATATCTCAAAGATTTCTGCTACTGGCAAATCAGGTATATATCTAAATTATTAATAGCATTTCTATATTCTCCAACAAATATAATATATTAAAACTTAGGTAGGTATACACTTGTTATGAGAATGTTTGCACTTAATCACTTAACAAAATTATTATACCATTTGATCCATGAGTTCAATTTAACATTACAGTTAGTATCATTCAATGAAAACCTGAATGCATCTAGCGGATTCTATATATATATATATATATATATAAAAGATTGCCACTTTTTTTTATCCGCGTTTTATTCGAAAATTCCATTAAACGATATCTTTGAAAAGAAAACGCGTCACAATTTCTCAAGTTTCTGATGTTGCGTTCAAATAAAAATAAGGCCACGATTAATGTCTACAATATTTTTAAAAATATAATTAAATTCTAAAATTAGAATTAAATTTAATTAAATTTAGATTCTAAAAATGAATTATAATTTTCATTAAGATAAATTTTATTTGTTCGAATTATTTATTTTGCAGAATTTTCATTAAAATCGACAGAAAGATTTCGGTGCGATTTTTAATAGTAACCAATCACAATTTTATAAAAAAATTTTTATTGGCTAATTTTAAAAATCGCTGCGAAATTTTTCTGCCAATTGCGCTTGTTTGGTCATTTACAATTTCGGACAAATATGAAAATTCTATTAATTAGAAATTCTTTTAAAATGATTTTTAAGATTTTTCGGTTAAATATAAATTCTGTAGTATGAAAAATTATAATAATTTAATAATTGATGATTTATTAACAATAATATTAAAAGTCTTTGATTTATTTTGAATTAAATAATTTTTTTTCAGTGATATAATTAAGAACACAAAGTATTTATTTTTCTTCTTCTTGACAATTTTCAGTTTCTTAGAAAAATAATAAAGAAAACCTCTGTTTTTTTTTTTTAAATCCCCCATATAATATATTTTTCAATTAAATTTTATCTTTCCAGAGTGAAGATACCCTTCTATTATATTAGGGAAATAATATTTATCTTTGTAAGATTTTGCAATTATCCAAAGCGGAAATTGAATTTCAAGTTGACTCCCCAGGAATTATTAAGATAATCCTCGCGCGCTGATGTTGATAATAGAAAAAACAGTAAATAAAAAAAAAGCTTAAAATCGAAAAAAAAAAATTAAATAGAATGAGAAAAAGAAGAGATAATTTTTTTACTTGAGAATAAAATATTTGGCGTCTAATTTTTTTTTTTAATTAAAATTTTCGCATTTGAAATATAAATTTTCATTTCTAATAAATTCGATACACTGTCTATAAATCTAATAAAACGATTCACAGTTGCGGCTATAAGTATATATAGGGATGGTAAAAAAAAAGTATAATGAGCTAACGGTAATGATTGCTGATTATTTCTCATGATTCTATACAACGCAATGTTTCTTTATTAATAAAAGAGCAGGCTCAATAGTTAATCTTTGATTTTGTTTATTCACAGAAGATCAAATGATGCACTTGATCATTCCTCTCTCCCTTTAATTCCCCTTCACTATTTAATTTTGAAATTCAGGGAATTTGGTTTTAATTATTTAGAAAAAAAAAAATCACGAAATTAAGAATTTATATATTGAAATAAAATTAATGATCTGTACTCATCTCTTTTATATAATATTGAAAGCTTTAGGAAAATATTCTGAAAACTAATTTCTCGGTGGGGTAATCCGCATTCTCTAATTGCAAAGAGTCAATCTTACATGACCCATGACTTCTTGCACATTATCAGAAGATATAAAATATTATATATACGCTCAAAAATCCCTTTTGCAATTAAGATTTTTTTCGCTTTCTCTGGGTTTGTGATTTTTTTTTTAATTTTCTCTTTTTTTATTAGTGATTTAGTGCTTGACATAAGGAAACTTGCAAAGGAGGCTTTCTCTTTGCTTTGTCTCTCACATTTGTTGTATTTTTTGTTTTTGTTTTAAGGGATAATAAATATTTATATTTTTTTTCTTTAAATCAATAATTTCTTTTTTCAAATCAATTTTTGCTTAAAATAATTAAAAAATTGTGTTAATATAAAAAAAAATTGTCACAGAAAATTAAAAGGCATTAAAATAAACAGCAACGCTTCTTATTTTATAATCCAATTTTGCTTATTTTAATACCAAAATGGATAAAAATAAGAAGCGTTGCAGCTTATTTTAATGCCTTTTAATTTTCTGTGATAAAATTAATATGTAAATTAAAATAATAATTAATTTTAAAATAAATAAATATTAATTTATAATTATAGTAATAATTTATTAATTAAATAAAAATTAAATAGATTATATGAATTTTTTAATTTTTATGATAAAAATTAAAATGAAAATAATTTAAAAAAGATGATAAATATCCTTAATACTAATTTTTTTGGAAATGTGCAATGACCCCTATTTTGATGTGTGCGGCTACGTAATATTCTATATCAGAGAATTCGAAAAAAAGAGGGGGTAAATTACAAAAGGAAAAAAAAAAAAACCGGTCCTAGTTTGGGACCAACGTTCTGCACGGATGTAAAGTTCCAGAGTGATATATAAGAAGGAGTGGTAAAGAGAGGAAAAGAGAGGGTTCGTTGACCAATATGGGCCTTGTTCTCTTGTCTCTCTGGGTCAGTAGACCTACACACGAGGCATGCAAGGAATGAATTCGGTATTACGTATACATATATGAATACAATCGGTAAAACGATTCAAGCGTTCAACACCCACCGTGATTCATTATATATGTATATATATACTCTCCCACACATTCACGTACATACAAGTCACGATATATATATATATGTGAATATTTACGGTTTCAGAAGCAATAAGCTCATTTCAATTATATATTTCATGCATGATCCGAATATTTTACAATCTCTTCATTCATATTGATAAGGAATAAATATATCTTTTTGAAAGAAAGTTCAAATTGTCTTTTGGTTCCGCATTTCATTATTATTTTTTAAGCTGCGAAATTTTCAAAAATATTAGCTCGAGAAAAAAAAAACTATTTTAAATATTTCGTTGAGTTTGCAATGTCATGTTAATTAGTGTCTTCAGTATTATATTTTTATGCTAATTACATTAACTGTTAATGATAATTTTAACGTTATTTTTGTTAATTAACACTGGTCCCATAGTTATGTTAATTTTGTAACACTGAAAAAAAAAAAAAAATTTATTCCATTCAAATAATTGGTTATTATTTCTTTGTATTAAATAAATATTTACTTGCATTAAATTAATTATTTGTATAAGTAAATAAATATTAATATATAAATTTTTTATTAAAAAAAAATATTTCTTCAATTCACAATTTTGAAATAAAAGAAGAAATTAAATTAAATAATGTGCGCATTAGAAGATAAAAAAAAAAACGATAATCAATTTTTCGAAGAACTTGCTTTGACACGTGTTTTTAATGATAATTGAAAAAAAAAATTTTTGTATAATATTTTATCGTAATGTTTGTAATATGTATTTGTATAAATTTAATCTATAAGTATATGTGCAAATGTATTAGAAAAATTGTGTTTGGTAAGATTTTGTCGTTTCAATATATAATATATATATATATATATATATGCAAGTGTATGGGGCAACTCTTTATAACTATAGAAAGTTTGAAATATTGACTTGAAAGGGCAAGATTGATTTGACAGATAATAATCATTGAATAAATATGCACGACACGCTTTTTGAATATATTTAAGTCCCCCAAGAACAATGAGCTAGGCCGCCTCTTCGTGTAACATATGCAACATGAGATTAGAACTAGACGCGAGCCAGACTTTTATTACCTAACACCTCTCTCAACGATATAATCTTTATTGCACTTTAAAAAATTATTATTTTTTTATTCACATTTTTCTATATACTAAAGTTTAAACTATTTTGCACTTCTTTTTCTTTATTTATTTTTTAAATACATTTTTTTAAATTTAATTTCGTTTTTTAATTTTCCTTTATTTATAATATTTTTATTAAAATAACAATTGTTTACAATTGAACATATGCTTACTGGATAATATCACACAAATTTAAAAGTATCAAATTGATACCAAAAATATCAAATTGATACAAATTTTTATATCAATTTGATATTTTTGGTATCAATTTGATATCTTTTAAATTAGTATGATAATAAATAAATTAATTATTAAAAATATAATAATTATAATAAAATTTGTTATTGTATTATTAATTTTGTTATTTATTTTTTTTTTTTTTGTAAAATATTATTATATATTTATAATAATTAAATTGCAAGTGGTTAAGAGAAAAATCGGGCTGCATACAAATGGATGATATATGTGTCGTGAGTTCACTAGAATTTGGAGCATGTCATATGTGAATTGACTACAAATATATATCTTCCTAGATCATTAATAAATCATTAGCGAGAAGACGACCGGCACTTGACTTGACATTGGTACCGTGTTAATAGCCATTCAGTTGTAATTTATGTCAAATTATGACAAATATGAAGTTGTTATTTGAAATTATCACATAGAGCAGAAATTTACTAATCAAACTAATTAAAGACTAATATTAATTATATTTATCCTATAATTGACATATATATATAGTTGATATATCTTCATTAATTTTGCCACAATTTTGTCAAATTTCCAATTCGTATTTTTAATTAATAAGTTATTAATTTTTTATTTAATATATCTTACATAACAATTAATTAAATAAATTATATTTATAATTATTAATTATTATAAATATTTAATTGTTATATTGTTAACAAATTTGTTTTTCTCGTTTTTCAGAATATTTCGGTCAAAGATGAAGAAACCACATCGATGCATACTATTGGCATTTATAGTCTGGGTAAACTTGAAAGAATCTTTCAGTTTACCGGTTCCTGAAGATGAGTTGGACACTTCGACAAGATTGCTTGGTTCCAGGTCAGTGGCTACAAGTTTTTTATTTTATTTTTTACAACCGGATGCTTTCATTATTTTAGTACATGTATGCAAATCAAGTTTCGAATATATTTATTCGGGTCAAAGTTGATTTTTTAAACTTGCATGCAAATTGTAAAATAAATTCATAGAGCGTTAATTGTCTTGAGTGAAAGAGACAGAGAGAAATATTTATTATTTTCGAAATCATAAATAGATTAAAAACAAAGAATATATTTATTTTAAAGTCTTTATCTAAAAAAAAAAAAATTATTTTAAACCTAATAAATTATTAATTTACAATTAACGACAATATATTTTAGTCAATTAAATAGGTAAATAAACTAAATTAGATTATTTAATATAAAGGTTGTTGTACGATATTATTAATCAACGTTCAGAATGAAAAAAAGAAAAATTAAACCGTTTTAAATGCTCTTTAAGGAAAATTCAATGACTGTTATGATAATTTATGTAAATATTTTTCAGTAGCCTTTCTCTTTTGCATTAATTTATTGTCACGCAAGGCCAGTAGGTAGATGCTTCCATATAAATCGATCCATGAATCTGATGATAGTTATGATGCAATGATTAAAATGACAAGAGTATATCGACCTCTGAAATACTATTACGATATCAAAGTCGATAAAATCTCTAATAAGTTTCTTTGCAATCATTTTCTAATCCTTAAATATAAGCCTTTTGCATTTCCAATTATAATAAATTTGTGATTTAATTATAATTTTTAATATTAATTTAATATAATTAAACAACATTTTTTGTGTGTACAGTGTTGTAACATCCGTTTCAATTGTTACGGGAGGCGAAAAAAATGGTGGAAGAATGTCACAAAGCAGAAAAGTTATTTCTGGACTTGATCTTCCACCATCACCAGGTGGACTTTTGCGACCCGATAGATTTCAATTTTATACTCTTAACAAGAATGGAGAAGTTGTCACTAAGCAGATGACGGAAAAGGAAATTCAAACACTTATTGCTGCTGGTGGTGGTCATTTTCCTACGGAAATCCATGAAACTCAAACGGCTGGCGATGTACCAACTTCCGGCATGAAGGTTTATAAAAAATTTTCATAAACAAATAATTTTTTTGTTCTTGTTTCTTATAAATATTTTAAAAAATCGATTCTCTCATTCCAGGTGGCAGACGTTGTACAAAATGTGCAAAATGTTCTAAAAAGTGAACTCAGCAAACCAACAACAGTGATGACATCAGTGCCAACAATTCCCGGCCATGCGACAGACGAATGGAGCAGTATTTTGCCATCAATTTTGGCTGGAGATATGGAAACACAATCGTTAGCCATTCCCGATTCTGAAATAATAGAAATGAAAAATAATTCACCTATTTTGGAAATGGAAACAAAACCCCAACCAACAAGTGATTCAAAATTAAAACCCAACATTACTTCTACGACCTCCACGAAAAAACCTATCAAAGAACCTGAAAATCCTCCAATAGTGATGATTCACAAGCCAATTATTGAAAATCATTTCAAAAAACCCATAATAGTTGACAGCCATCCTCATGATTCTATTCCTGTCGCCACTTATTTTGAACAAATCAGTACCACGAAACCTGATAAAAATCCAGAAAAATTGTCCCCAAAACCTTTGAGGCCAAATGATGATTCACCATCCAAGTTTTCTGTTGAAAAACCAACGAAACCTTTAAATGTTCCTCAAGGAACGATCAAAAAACCCTCATACAATCCTTCTACTTCTGAAAAACCAATTCCATCAAAAACTACTCCAGTTCCATTGAAGACAACACCTTTGAAGACGAATCCTATTCAAAAAACAACTCAAGCTCCTTTGAGAACAACTCCTTCAAAAACAACCAAAAGACCATACTACACCTTCCGACCAGAATATCCACCAGTTTCCTATTCCGAAATTCCAATGATCCCCGTTCACGTAATCACGGCTGATCAAATAATGACATCAACTCCTCTTTATCAAAAAGACACGGCTCCGGTATTTCAAGTGTTAAACACAATTTCCGCCGACACTGCATCTAATTCTACAAAGATTATCGAAGATCTAGGCAAATTCTCGTATCCAGTCTATAAGCCTGATAAAACAACAGAGAAGCCAACTAGCGAGAGACCAAAAACAACACTACCAGAGATCATTATTTCCGAAACGAGTCTTTATACAAAACTCCCTGAATTAGTAACCGTTCCGGCAAAAACTGAAGTTCCGATATTAAGCGTTATTTCGGAAACTCACACAACTTCTGTAAAAATTCCAGGATTCCCGGAAATACCCGTGACATTGGAAAAAGTTGACAGCACTGTTAAACCGGAAATAAAGACCACAATTGCCATGAAAGTCGATACCAATCAGAAACTTGATAAACCCCTTGTTGATGATCATGTAATTGATTCCATAATTAATCCGTTAGTAAAACCTACAGCCAAGCCTTTAGGTGACGATTCTTCTGATTCTGAAGTTGATAAAGCTTCAACTATGTACGATGCTACAACACTGCTCTTTGACTCTGAATCAACAATCAATTTTGAACCTAAAACAACAACTCCGATGTTCGAGACCAAGGCAACAACAACACCAAAGTACGAATCTAAAACAACAAAGTACGAATTTAAAACAACACCAAAGTACGAATCTAAAACAACAACAAAGTACGAATCTAAAACAACACCAAAGGACGAATCTAAAACAACACCAAAGTACGAATCTGAAACAACATCAAAATACGAATCTAAAACAACACCAAAATACGAATCTACAACAACTCCAAAGTTTGCGTCTAAAGCAACAACTGAAAAATACGAATCTTTACAAACGACTCAAGCATTAGACTCCAAAGCACCAGTCACTGATGATATTACCGAAACAACGGATGCAGATTTTACGGCCACCAGTCCTTTGAATAAATACTTCGAAACGACAGAATACATCTCCGAAGTGACAGCCCTGAAGGAAACTCAATTCCAAAGGATTCCAAATTTGTCTGATGAGGTAATCTCTCCTGAGACGTCAGCTATTGAGAAGATCATTGAGACCCTGCACAATCCAGCGGAGAGCAAATTTGGAACCTCTACGATTATTGACATTAATGCAGAAGATCAGGAATTAGAATTTTCCACAACCTTCCGAATTCTTGGAGAAGATTCAACAACTAACGCTTATACCTTCAATCCATCAACAATCGATATTGACAACACTGAGACAGTCAGCACCAAGATTAAATCCTCGACTATACCTACTGTTGATCAATCTCTGGAAATGACAACCAAACCCTATGAACCACTACCAACTGAATTGGCTGATTCATTATCAAGCATGATCTCTCAAATTTCGGAAGCTGTGCCTTCTTTGGTTTCGCAAAATTCCTTATTGACCGAAGAGCCTCTGAAGGATGATTTCGATAATAATGACACTTATCAGCAAAATACGGAATCATCAAGAGTCACTCAGGATTTGCTTGGTTTTGAGACGACATTCTATAAGCATGCCAATGTCGACATTGGTGCAACTGTTCGGATGGAAGACAGCACTGAGAATCTGAAAGATTTGGATTCAACTTCGAGGCCCGAGTCGGAAATTTCGAAAACTGACGAATCAGTCAAAGAATCTTCAACAATTTTATCTTCCGAATCTCCTATTTCTTCTCCTATGAATTCAGTTACTATTTCTTCTTCAACTTCAGGAATGCCTTTCTCAGTATTAACTTCTTCAGCTACATCTTCATTATCTTCAGCATCTTCTCCAGCAATATTTTCAGTATCTTCTTCATCATCCTCTTCAACAGCTTCTTCATCAGCAACTTTTGCAACAGAAGCTTCGGCAACATCTCTTTCTACAGCAGATACTACAGAAAAATTGAAAACTTCATCACTCATGGAACAACCAAATAAACCAATGGGATCAGAGAATGACCAAATTCCACAGAGTGATGAATCTCATAAAGTGTCTTCAGTTGATACAACTGAGAAGCCAATTATCCGTGTGGATGTTACGGAAGCTGGAAGCACAATACCACCAGCTGATGTTGAAAATAATGGAATTACTGAATCATCTGTTATTAGAATACACATGGCTGATGCAGTTTCCATGATCAACAATCTATTGGAAACGGCACCTCCTCAAACAACGGCCTCCTACGTTCCACTCACTTTACCAGAAAATGAAAATAGCTCACCTAATCTCATTGGTAGTGGTCTTGTTGCTGGATTCCTTCCCAAAAACGAGACTAAATTTGTTCCAGTTAAACTTCAAAATGAAGCATCAACTGACGTTCCTTTAATTCAAATTAAAGAAACGGAAAATAAGATTACTGAAGATGTCAAAAACACAACAGACAAAATCCAAAACTCTGACAGCAAAACAAAAGACTCTGAAGATAAAACTAAAGATACTGAAGGTAAAATTAAAAGCACAGAAAGTGGAACAAAAAATAATGAAGGTAAAATAGAAAACACTGAAGATAATAAAGATAAAATCAAATTGTCCGAAGAAAAGATTAAAGATCAAATTAAAGATTCCGAAGAGAAGATCGAAGTTTCTACAAAAGTAGAGGAAAAAATAAAAACAACTGAACAAGTGGAAAAGGTTCAAAATACTGAAGAAATAAAGAAAGAAGAAACTACCAAAAATACAGAATCAATAAAGGAGGAAAAAATCAAAACCGCTGAACAAGTAAAAGACAAAATCAACACCGAAGAAATAAAGAAGGAAGATAAAATCAAAAATTCCGAAGAATTAAAAAAGAAAGATGAAAACAAGAATACCGAAGAAATAAAGAAGGAAGATAAAATTAAAAATTCAGAGACAATAAAGAAGAAAGATGAAAATAATAAAGTCGAAGAAAAAGAAGATAAAATAAAAAATACCGAAGAAATAAAGAAGAAATATGACAACAAGAATACAGAAGATATGAAGAAGGCGGATAAAACCAAGAATAACGAAGAAATGAAGAAGGAAGATAACACCAAAAATTCTGGGGAAATAAAGAAGCAAGAGAAAATCAAGATTGAAGAAGTGGATAAAGATCAAAGGATCAATAACTCCGATCAAAATAAAAAAGTTACTAATGAAGCTAAAATTCCGTCCATTAATGACAAGATTTCATCATTGACAGCTGAAAAAGAAATTAATTCTAACGAATCCAAAACAAAAGTAGAATTTAAAACGGAAACTCCATCAGAAACGAATTTGTTAACGACAATTTACGATAAATTTGAAGTTACCACTAAAAAAATGAACGAAAATACAACTCCAAATTCTGTAAATAAAATCGACACACCCATTTCCTTATTACAGACTCAAACTGAAGACAAGTTGAAGACAACAATAACATCTCCTCTAAAGAAAAATGCAACAAAAACTCCATTAAAATCAGATCAAATTCCAATTATTCAGAAAGAAAGTCCCACCAAATTGGAGAATATCACAAATATTGTTATCAATACAACTCCTAAATCATTTACAAAAATTTCAACAACAACAGCAACTAAATCAAATACAAAAATAGGTACAACGACAATTAAATCAAATATTGAAAATACAGTTACAACGCCAAAATCAACTTCTATTGAACCTTCGAAGCTAGTTTCGCAAAGTGTTAACAAAACCAGAAAACCCGAAATTCCTGTAGTTCGAATAGACATAAGTCCAGAAACAAATCAAATGCCATCTAAACTTCCAATGAATGATCCAATCTTCATGATTCATCCTGAACCAGTTGAGAAAATTTCAAAACCAATTAATTCATCATTTACACAGGAGTCTGAAGCTAACGTAAAAGTAACTCTGATCAATGCTGATCAACAATTTGCCAATGACAATAAATTAAAGAGAGTCGATGCAACAACCGCTGCCAGTGTTGTCGATCAGACAAAGAAAATTGGCGAAAGTCAAGAATTACGAATTCGAGTCAATGATACAGCAGTCCTAGTTTCTAAAATACCATCTCCAATGATCCCAATAAATGAGACAAAAACTAAGCAATCGTCAACTGAAGAAAAAAATGTCGAAGCTTCTCAAAATTCTACAATCCCGGCTCAAATATTGCAAAATGATACAAAAATGGTGATTGTCAACACCACTCAATCGGAAAAGGTTCACGAAGAAATGATTCCAATTGGATTTACCGTAAAACCAATTTCCAATCACAAGGAAATCATTGATCAAAGTATGGAAGATGCCTACAATAAACTTGGTGAGTTTACAAAACCGATAGGTTCATCAAAGAAGAATGTCACCACTTTTGCAACGAGACCGCAAACATCGGGAAATAAAGTGACGAAACCTGTGAGACCATTAGAAGGATCATTGAGACCAGGTTCATTTAAACCTCCAATTGGATCTAGTACGACGAAACCATTGGAATCCTATTCAGAGCCATCAGGATCGGTGCAATTTTCAACTTCAAGACCTTCGGCAGCAGGAGCTGTGCAATCCAGACCCAGTGGATTAAGACCATCATCAGGATCTCATTTTTCAAGACCATCGGAAGCAGCAGGAGCTAGTGGTTTCCGTCCATCATCAGGAGCTTCTTCTTCTTCTTCTTCTTCAAGACCAGGAGATACACTAGGACTTAGTGGATTAAGACCATCATCAGGGGCTTCTTCTTCAAAACCAGCAGATTCATTCAGTCCAGTGACATCAAGACCTAGTGGTTTAAGCCCATCATCAGGTTCTTCTTCTTCTTCAAAACCATCAGATACATATGGTCCAGTGACATCAAGACCTAATGGAATTAGACCATCATCAGGATCTTCATCTTCAAGACCAGCAGATACTGGTCCAATGACATCCAGACCTAGTGGATTAAGCCCAGCATCAGGTTCTTCTTCTTCAAAGCCAGCAAATGTATCTGTACCCAGTGGATTTAGACCACCATCAGGATCAGTACAAACGCAAGCAAAACCCAATTTTCCAACAAAGGTCAGGCCAAATTTACACGAGCCATTGTCTCCAAAACCAACAGACACAACAAAAATCAAGAAACCCGATGAGAATTTAACGGATGATAAATGGGCGCTTATTCCCCAACCAAATACATCAAAGCTTACTAAACCAACACCTCCGAAACATGTCACCAAACCACAAGTTCAACAACCACAAGTTGCATTGGACAGTTCACAGAGTGCAATTGGCCTCGATGCAAGTATAAGAAATCTAGAACCCGATGTGATTTATTTTTCGAATTTATGCAATGAATTGGCATTTAGTTTTTGGAGTGCAGCCAACAAGGGATTGAGTACAACACGTTCATTGGTATTATCACCATTTGGAATGACAAGTTTATTGGCGATGGTCTTTTTGGGTGCTCGTGGTCCAACATCAAATGAAATGAATGATGTTCTCAAATTGGACGATGTTGCAACATTTAATCCTCATTTGGTATTTCAAAATATCACCGACACTGTGAGTCTATCGAGAAAACAGGGAATCGCTAACGCTGCCTTTGTTCGTGAATTGTTTGCCGATAAATCAAAAGTTGGTAAATTAATGCCATTCTATAAGAAGCAGGCACATACATTTTATGAGGGAATCGCTGAGGAGGTGAATTTTGCAGCAATTAATGATATTGTTAAACGTCGAACAAATCTTTTAATTAAAAAACAAACGGACAATAGAATTAAAGATTTTGTTCGTACAAATACTGTGAGTTTGCGACCACCATTGGCGGCATTATCAGCAAATGTTTTTCAAACTGAATGCAGTGGTGCAAGTTCAGATGGACGCGATGGTGAATTATATTTTTCAGTTTCGCCTGCCATTAGACAACGACAATTGGTGCGTGTGCCAGCGACACTATGGAAATCGGGTGTACTAGCTGGTTATGAGCCAAGTTTAGATGCAACTGCAATTGCATTGGGTGGAATTGAAAAATTGGTATCGACAATATTTGTGATACCTGGCCAACAGGGTCACATGGCACCGGGTGATAATTTGGATAATCTTGAAATACGTCTGATGAGAGGTGCACAATATGATGGTGCTTGGGAGAAATTGCTCAAAGTTCTTATTCCACGTTCATCATTGGAACTTCAAGTACCTAAATTTAGTCATCGTTCAATTGTCAATGCAACTGCTGCACTAAAGAGAATGGGATTGGGTGAACTTTTTTCAAAACACGCTGATCTCAAGGGTATCAATGGAATTGGTCAGGATTTACATTTTGCCGATATTCTTCAGGTGATTATATCAATTGGACTAAATTCTTTAGAAAATTCTTTTTTGAAAAATTTATTTCATCTTCCATTGATAGAAGATTATTCTTGGAACAAGAATTATTATTCTCAATAGAAAAATATGATAGAGAAGAAATCTTTGTCTATTTTTTTTTTTTTTAATTTTAAGAGATTTTAATTCGATTAAAAATATCTTTTCAGATTAATCTGTTCAGTACATGTGGTGATGAAAATATATCGATTGGCCGACATCACATGGAAACATATCCGGAACCACCGATGAGGAATTATCGAAAGATGACAAATGATGATGATGATGATGATTCATTGGATGATGAAGATTTTTATTCCGAGGAGCCATCAATCAATATTTCGAGTTTTGAGAATAATTTCTCGAGCTATGAATCTATTTCGAGGACAGCGAGAAAAGCTGAAGGCATCGAGAAACCAAAATTGAAATTAGACAGGCCTTTTCTGTATTTTGTACGACACAATCCAACTGGTTTGATTTTACATATGGGAAGATTTAATCCTAGAATTACAGAAAAAACGTAGGTTTAAAAAAAAAAAATTCAAATTTGAACTTTAGTTAAAAAAAGAAGAATCAATTTTTAAAAATGATCTTAAATTTATTTTAAAATTTTAAATCTTAGAAACGTGCTTCTAAAGCATTTCTCATTTATTTTCATTTTATGAAACTTTTAACAATTTAAAATTATTATTTTTTGAAAATTTTTCATTTTTTTTAACGTTTTAAAAATGAATTTTTATAATTTCTTCCTATTTTAGAAATTTTTATTTATTCTTTCGACACGTTTTCAGGATGTACATCACAAATGATATCATGTGATCTTCCTAATCACCTGATGATTTTAATTCTCCAAAAAAAAGTGAGATAAAAAAGTCCAATGTATCTTTAACAAAAAAAAAAAATTTTAATAATTTTTATTTATTAAAAAATAATATAACTTTTTTAAATTTTGGTTTAAAAAGAAAAAATTATAGATATTTTTTTTTGTAAAAAAAATTTTCAACTTGTATATATATATGACAAAGATTTTATTAATGGATTCTCTTTTCAAGAATAGCTTAATATTTGGACTTGTTGAAAAAACTGAAAGGAGACTAACTTTTATCTATATATACAATGTTCTTTACTTAGAAGGTATAATTTTACCCATTAACCATAAAGTATTAACAGTATCATTACAATATAGTATATATATATATATATTTACTATACGTATATTTGAGTATATATATGTGAGAAATGGGTTAAGTCTGTGTACATAAAGTGAGTGATAATTATTACATATTTTTTATTATTATATTTTTCTCCTTCAAAGGAATAATTTTTTTGAAAATTGTGTGTGAATATGAAAATTGTATGTATAAAATTGAATCTCGAATGTAAATGTAATACTCTGAATGCATCAAATGATAAAATTATTTATAAATTATTAATATCTAAATTATATATATATAATATAAAATTATTATTCGATAATTTGTTAATTAATGATTGCATTGTTAAGTGATTTAATTGTTAATCATTCATTGCATTCTTTAATTAACTATTAAATTATTAATCAATAATTAAATTAAGTAACTAATTAACTAGAATCAAAATAAATCTTGACGCTAAAAGAAAATCTTATCTTTTTATTAATATAGATTAACAATTTTTTTCAGAGATATACCACTGTCCTTTTTTATATTATAATAATATAATTTATTATCATTATTATTATAATTTTTTATTATAATTGTAATTTTTATAATAATTATAATTTTTTATTATTATTATAATTTTTATAATTATTATTTTTATTTTTATTATTATTATTATTATTACATATTAAGGTATTATTGTTCTAAGTTTAAAACGCCGTCCAGTAAATAGGTACTTAATTATAAAATTTGTGCAATATTGTGGCGTAGCTAGGATCAATATTTTTTTTTTTTTTACGAAAAAAAAAATATAGAAACTTAGTGAAAAATTGAAGATTTTAATTTATATATTAAATGTAATCGTAATATGTTTAATAGTGAGAGAATTTTAATTTAATTTCAAAACATAGACCACTGTTATTTGTTGCTTATATATAGCTTCAAATAATTTTTTATTCTTTCTACGTCACTTTTGCAAATTGATATGTATATGCTTTTCGTTATATATACAAATGTACGAAGTGATTTTGAAAATAAAGAATTTCAAATACAATAAAAATTGTTTCGATTTAAAAAAAAGAAATTTCTTCTTTTTTATTTTTTTGTAATAATTTATTTATTATTATTTAATAAATTATTATTATTATTATTATTATTATTATATTATTATTTTTTTATTTTATTTCCACTAGAGTCAAAAGCGATCATTTTAGTCCCTAGGGCTTTGCATTTTTTTTTACGTATTCTTCAATCAAATTGTTATAAAGTTTTTGTTTTCATTTTAATGTAAATTCCAAAAGTGATTCTAGATTAAAAAAGGGAGATTCAATTGACGTTGTTTTATTTAAAAGCACGTGATAGCGATTTTTAATGTTATTTAATCTTGGAGATTCTCAAATCATATAAACTTATGACGAATGCAAGTTTATAATCGCCTTTATATACGGATAAATCATTATCAAAATCAAATTAAAAAAAAAAAAAAATTGTATACAGTACTTTGCAAAATCAAATTATAATTTTTTACATTTTTCAGTATATCAATTAATCAACGAATTAGAAAATTGTTAAAATTCTTCAAAAATACATAAAAAAAATAAATAAATACAATTATAAAAATATTAGCATATATAATTTATTTTTTCTAATTTTGAAAAAAAAATTAAAATTATAATTATATATTTAATAAAATAATATTAATAATAATAATAAATAAATAAAAAAATTTTCATAATTTTATAATTATTTATAATTTGATTAATATATCATTGTTTGTTTATTATTTTTATCGTTTGTTTATTTGTTTTTATTTATTTTGCGAGCGTTAATTTTTAGGTATGTATAAAATTTGTGAAATTCATTATAAATTATATATCTATATATTTATTGAATATAATATATCGTGTCACGTATATAATGAGTAAATATCAGATAATAAAGTGCACGGGTACTTACTTGTATAATTGGAAGGGGAATATCTCTTTTATTTTATCACTTTTGTTAACTTGAACTGATCGGTGTATATGCTTCAAGTTTTGACGACCTCGAATGACTTAGTATTACTCCTTTTGATAGATTGCTTTGTTTGCTGGTTTATTTTAAATCTTTCCTCGTTCAGAAAAGCAAAAGTCGTCTATTTGTCGTGAGTGTGTGTCAATGCATCTTTTCAAAATGTGCAACAGTGCGTAATATTTGCGAAAAAGAAAAAAAAAAGAATTTTATTTTATTTTTTTCTTCTATTTAAAGGATATGTAAATCCCATTTAATAAACTTTATATTTCTTCTTTAAAAAAAAAAAAAAAAAAAAATCATCAAAATTAACGCGAGAATATTAAATATGCGAGTGTCTTCGTACACTTATCAACAGGTGAGTTTGATAAAAAAAAAAAAAAAAATTTTATATAAAAATAAAAGAAAAAACCGTGAAATTATTTAAGAAATTGAAGCAAAAGAAAAAATTTTTTAAAAAAAGTGAAAGGAGGTGAAAAAGAAAAAAAAGAAAAAAAAAAGATAAAAAGTTAAAAACTAAAGAAAAGAAAAAATAAAATTTAAAAAAATAAACAAATGACGTAAAGAATGTTTTTCCAAAAAATTACGTAATAAAAAAGGAAAGAATTTCAAAAAAAAAAAAAAAAAACAGTTTTGATTCTTTGAAAACGCTTATAAATGCAACCTCAATTTGTTTGAACAAATTTTCCTCTTATTTTTTCAGAGTATATAAAGTCAATATTTGCAAAATTTTATTTGGAAAGTTTTTTTTTTTTAAGATCAAAGAATAAATTCGATACCATAGATCATTGATTTACAGTGATTGAAGATCATAATCTTCAGCATAATAAAAATTTCAAAAAAAATGAAAAATATGTTTCACTATAGAAAAATTCAAACTAGAGCAAAATTTTGAAATAAAAATAATGCAAAAATTAATATAGAAGAAATGATATTATAGGAAAACTAAATTAAATAACAGAAAAAGAATTTACAGTTTCGAATAATATATATTATAAAAAAAAATATAACAAACACATTATTTCTGTTATCTTTTCGTAAAATTGTATTACGTCGAAGATAACATAGACCTTCTTATTCTAATACCTAAAGTTATATATAATAATATTTATACAAATATTGGAAATATTTAAAAACAATTTTGAAAATTTATTGAAAAATTTTATATTAACTGAAAAAAAAAATTTATTTGATTCAAATAATTGGTTATCAAAAATAAAAATTTACTTGAACCAAATAATTTTTATTTGAATTAAATAAAGTGTATTTGAAATAAATACCATTCAATTGACTCAAATAATAATAATTATTATTAATAAATATTTATTTTATAATAGTCAAGTAATGGAGTATTTAAATTAAATAAAGTTTTTTTTTCTATGTGGAATATAGAAAGTAAAAGAAAATAAATAAAATAAAAAATTTGAAAAAATAGAAAAAATAAATAAAATAAAAAAAACAAAATATGGATTTATTAAACTTGTCTGGCTTTGATTAACCTAATTATTATTATAACACAAATTAAATTTTATGAGTGAGGGGAAAAATGATCGTGTCACCCCTTTTATATTCGTTAGACAAACATAAATTGTATATACTTTATTTTTTAATAAGACGCGCATAAATACAAAATGTATGACTTTTATTGTCTTTGAATTCTCTCTTGTTTGTGGTTAAAGATAAGTCTTCATTATAATGATAAGATAGTTGGATGTCAAGATAAACGTAATATTGTATGCGATTATTCCTTTTTTCTTTTTTTTTGAAAAATTTTTGCGCTCGCGCAAAAAAAGAGATATATTTTCATGCATTTTCCGCGATACACGCAAAAAGTTTGAAATTTTTGTTTCGCGCAATCTTATTTTCTCTATATATAATATTGAATAAGAATTAAAAAAAAAATTTTTTTTAATTCCTTTCATCGGCAAAAATATCATTTCAATGGAATGGTTAAATAGTCATATTACATTATCGGAAAGAGATGATCAAGATTTAAAAATAGTAGGTTATTTTGCAATTACAATAAACTCTATTACTTACTTAAAAGTTACTCATAGTTTTGATTTATAGAAGTTTTAAAATTTTTTAATTACAATTTTTTTTTAATCAGTGAATTATTAAAATGTTTAATTACAATTTTTTAAAATTGGTTAATTTTATAAATTTTTAATTACAATTTTTAAAAATTTTTAATTATCCATTTTTTTTTAAATTAGTGAATTTTTAAAATTTTATAATTAAAATTTATTAAATTAGTGAATTGTTTGAATTTTTAATTATAATTTTTCAAATTTAGTGAATTATTTTGAAAACATTAATTTTTTTTAAATTAGTGTTCAGTGAAACGAAAAGTGAGAATTATAATTAATTTTAGTTAAATGTATATGGTGAACCCGTATGAATATTCAACGATTCGTTTCTTTTTCAGAAACGTTGAATTATGCGGGGAACCATTATCTTGCGACGCGATGGATGATACAGTCAACAATTTCCACGACAAAGTACGTTTCACATATATATGTATATACAATATTGAACGATTCATTAATAAATGCCTCCGTTCAAGTGTATATCTATATACATATTAGAAATTTGGATGCTTTTTTTTAGTTTCAGTAGTAATAGCCCATTATAGCCAGACAGAACATTTTTAACATTTTTATTCTTTGTATCAGTATAAAAAGTGAATTCTAGTCAGACTTTGCAAATTCTTCTAATTTTTCCATAAGTTGTAAAAAAAAAACAGTTTTCTAAATTTATCAGTAGTAAAGGTAAATTTTAGTCAGACACTATTTTTTTTTAATTCCTTGGAATTTTTCGGATAGTAAGTAGTGACGTTGCAAATTCTTCCAATTTTCCCATAAATAGTAATATAGTTTTCAAATTTATCAGTAGTAATAGTAAATTTCAGTCAGACATAATTTTTTAAATTCTTCGTAATTTTCAAATAGCAGTGGTAAAAGTAAATTTCATTCAGACATAATTTTTTTAATTCTTCGTAATTTTCGAATAGCAGTGGTAGAAGTAAATTTCAGTCAGACAGCACCTATAAAATTTCAAAAAAAAAATTCCTTCTAAGTAGTAAATATCAATTGTTTAGTCAGACGTTATAAATTCTTACCAAAGACAAATGCAGGTCAATTTCAATTTTTTTATTATTGAAAAATAAAAGAAATTTTCTAATGATTATTCTATTTGCATATTCAGTAGTAAAAGTACATTTTAGTCAGACAAAATAGTTAAATTTTTTTTTTATTCTAAATAAGAGTTTAAAGAAATTCAGACTTTCCGAATATTTTTTTTTTTTGCAAATTTTGATATATTTTATGAGGGGAAAAAATGTGGTAATTATTATGAGTATATAAAATTTGATTTTTTTTTTCATTAAAAGGACACGGACTGTACAAGTCGGTCTCTTGCCACTCTATTAGTAGCATGGGTTGGAGCAGCGATGGTAGCATCAGTATTACTACGTTGGAAATATATGTGGATTGCACTGGCAATATTAACATTACTATTTCTAATCGCCTGTGGTTATGCAGCATGCAATGCACGTCGCACTCAACACAGGATAGTATGCAGGAGTAATAGACCTGTTGTAAGAAGACATTCAGTTGAACATGTTGAAACTGTATCCAGGATAGTCGATGGAAATTATGTATGTTTCTTTTATTTTTTTAAATAAAAAATATTACAATTTTTTTTTAAAATCATAATAATATTTTTTATTACAATTATATAGTGTAAATAATTTTTTATTTTAAAATTCACCGATAATGCTCGGACACTTTTTTATTTTTTTTGGAATTAGTGAAAAAAGTTGACTTTTTTTTTTATTTGCAGTAGAAAAAATTATTTTGATCAGACAATTTTTTTTTCACAGTAGAAATATGCAGTTGTGTCATGAAATTTTTTTTTTTATCTTCAGTAGGAAAAAACTATGACAAATTCTATATTAAAAACAAAAGAAAATTATTTTCTTACTATAGAAATTTATAACAAAAACTTAAATTCTTCATTTTTTACAAATAAAAATTAAACAAAAATTAAAAATATATTAAAAAAATTTTGAATTCTAAATAAAATTTAACGATTTAAAAATTTTTTTGATTTTTTATAAAAATATATATATTTCTTGTGTGATAAAATTTCAATCTCATAAATCATTTTTCTTTGTATATTACAAATAAAAAAAAAAAGTCACACATAATTGCTGCAATTTACTGTCATTAAAAAACCTTTTTAATTTTTATACTTCAATTATATATTGCAGTCTCGCATGTCTTTATATACAATACTATTAATAATTACAACCAACTCTAATTGTATCAATCATTAAGAATTTTATTAAGGTCATTATTATTTGCTTTATACAGTTATTTCTCATATTTCAATTCTATCTATTTTTATCTCACTTTTTTAAAAAAAAAAACAATTCTCGATCATTTTTCCCATTTATTTTAGGTATTTTTAAATTAAGTAATTAATTTTTTTATTTTTAAATTTATTATTTTATTAGTTTTTAATTTATTAATTATAAAAAAAAATTATTTTTTTTCTATATTATTTGAATATAATAATGATATTTGAAAATGAATTATAATTAAATGTTTTTTTTTTTTTTTTTTTTTTTTGCGCAGGTAGTTGATCCACCGGCCTATCAAACATTTTGGATAACAGATTTACCGCCATCATATTCAGCGGTAATCAGAGGGCAACCATCAAATTCCCTGCCAAATTATCACTTGACTTCGGTCGATGAATTTGCAATTGGTCCAAGATTATCGAATCCACCACCATATACAATGGCAATTCAATCCGATACTCTGAATACTGCAAATGGACAAGCAATAAATTGTACACGTGAACAACATATAATTCAACGTTTTCCAACAAGTGTAATAAATCAACAATCAAATAATGATGAATCTTGGACATTGAACTCATCTCATCATCATCATCATATTGTGAGGACACAATCATTTTCGGAAATTCCTCAAGTTAAGAATAATAATAATAATAATAATAATGATGATGATGATGATAAGGAACCAAAGGAGAGACGACGATCACGTTCACAGGGGACACGATATTTGAATAATATTATTATTAATTGTACATTTACAAGAAGCGAGAGAAGTACAAATGACGATCAAAATAATGATCATCAAAATACTCCCACAATAGAACAAAGGGTCGATTCGAATCAAATTCATTCTACTAGCAATAATAATAATAGTACTAGTGATTCTAAGGTAAATTAAATATTTTTTATATACATTATTTTTTTTAATTGAAATTTTAATTAAATAATCAAATTAATTTTTATTTTTATTAAATATAATTATTATTTGAATTGTATTTGTTTCAAGTAGAAAAATTATTATTGGTAAATTGTTTAATTTATTAATTATTTTTAGTTTATTTAATTGAAATAAAAATTATTTGGTTAAAGTAAATATTTATTAATAATAGTCAAGTAAACGAATTATTTAAATCAAATAAAATTTTTTTCAGTGATATAATATTTTTATTCCTACTAGAGTTAAAAGCGATCATTTTAGTACCTAGGGCTTTGCATTTGTTTTATTTTCGTATTCTTCATTCAAATTTTGATAAAGTTTTTGTTTATTTTAATGTAAACTTTTATAATAAAATTATAAAGTACTCTTTTATTTTGAATTTTTTTTTTTTACTTTTACTAGTAGAAAATATTGTTTATGGTCAGACAAAATATATTTTTACTTTTAAAGTAGAAAAATTTATTTTTACACGAAAATATATTTTATCATGAAAAATATTTTTGAATAATATTAAAATATATTTATCTGTTTCAGAATTGAAGTTATACAAAAATCCAAAAATTAGTATATATCTTCTGTTAATAAAAAATATCAATATAATGCACTGCAAAATTGTACATAGAGTTAATTTTTCTTGTATAATAATTATGACATCGAATAATAATGAAAAAATTACTATTTTGCAAAAAAATTTCAATTTTTTTTTTTATAAATTCTTGTTTAATTTCACAAAAAAAAAATTTACCTTAGAAAAAATATTATCTCTGTTACACCTCTGGTTGTAAATATACTCTTTATTCTACAATTTTTATGTTATATAAATATAGACAAATAAGTATTATTATAGAAAAAATCTCTTAAAAATGAAAAGAGAAAATTGTATATTAATTGAAATGAAATCAAAATAATTATAATAATAAGGCAATTAAAATTTGATTTTTTTTAAAAAATTACATGTGTTTTTATTTATTGTCCAAAAGAAAAAATGAATAAAAGTAAAATAAATAAAAAAAAGCAAAGAAGAACATCGAAATTTAACTATTATTTGATAAAAGTCTCTAGATATATAAACGTTATTACATAAATTATATAATTTTCAAATTGGTTCAAGTTTTGGACCGCAGGCTCAAATCTCATCGATATAGATCAACTTATTTTATATTGATGTTTCAGGTTTTGACTTTCACCGCATGCCCGGAAATTATATAGTATATTTAATATTGACTTAAAATTCTGACATATGATCCACATATGATTTATGCTATATATAGTTCATAAATATTCATTTGCCGTCAATCTGAATCTTCGACAACTTTACATATTTTTTTTTTTTTTTATATAACATATGGCACTAAGAATGAATTTATAATAATAGCAAAACAGTAGAAAAAGTTTTTATATAGTCAGACAATTTTAATTTTACAAATAATAAAATCAATATATTAATTATTTTTTTATTATATTTTTCATATTTATTAATTAATTATTATATTTATTAATTAATCAAAAAAAAATTTTACAGTAAAAAAAATTGTTTACATTTTATACAATTGAAAAAATTATTAATATATTTTTTGTCATTGTTACCCCCTGCAAATGAAAGAAAAAATCATTATGAATAAAAAAAAAACCTTGAAAAATAATAAAAAAAACCTCGTTTTATTCACAATTTATTATTAATGATTTATTGACTTATAAATGTTCTAATACGTTTTAAAAATGACAATAATGTGTGAATTTTTTTTAGCAAAAATGGAATTTTCGTTGACAGACGAGATAATAAAATACCATTATTTTTTTTCTTAACAATGTGAACAAATGAATCATAAGTAATGAGAAAGTATATTATATATATTGTGTCTTAAAAAGGGACACCGACGTACTTTTAGAAAAAAAAATATGAAACTGAAGAAAAAATCATTTTCCTTATATAGAAACAATCTCCTGAAGTATATTTATAATCTCCTAACCATCGAGGCTATTCGTCAGTTAATGTCAATCTTACTATTTATTTCCTCGTAAAGTCTATTTCGTTCTTGCACTTAATTCGCAAATAACAATAATGATTTTCAATTTCAAACAGAAAAACATGTCATTTTTATTTCATTAAAATTGGCAAAAAAAAAAAAAAAAATTTTTATGTTTTAATTTGTCGACACAAAATTACTACACGAATTTTGTTTGTTTCTTATTTTAATAAGAAAAACTATTATGTAAATTATTATAATTATTATTATTATTATTACTATTATAATTTATTATTATTATAAAATTTTGGAAAAATTTATTTTAAATAAAAATTTTTAATTAATACAAAAATAAATTAAATTATATTTTAATTAATTTTTATATTCTTTTACAATAATTATATCTATTATTTAATTTTTTTTAAAATTATTGTTATTATTTAGGTTATTAAGGCAAATATTATATTAATGGTATTATTAAGTAACGAATTAGTTGTTAAATTATTTTATGAATTTTTTTTTATATGTTATAAACTTTTCTTTTGACTACTTTTATAATAGAATTTCTGTAACAATCTCAATATAAAACAGAGGACAATCTCCTTAGCGATTATATATATATATATATATATATATATATATATATGTATATATTGTGAAATAATACCCTCGGGCCTATAAACATTATTCTTCTTGCAATAGGGCAAAATAACGTTTCTTGGCAGCCCTGTCATGTGTAATAACAGTTGATTTCACTCAAAGCTGCAATTATAAATAAAAGAATTCTCAGTTCTAATCATTCTCTTAATAAGATGAGTATACCGAAAGAACTTCTAAATTTGAGACTATAATTTTAGCGCCTAAAAAAAAAATTTCTTAAAATAAAAATTTTATTTATTTATTATTTTTTTCAAATTATAAAATTAATAAATTATTCCACTGTAAAAAAAAAAATTAAATAATATATAAGAGCTTTTTTAAAGTAAAAGTAAAAATTTTGTCTGATCATAATAAACATTTTCTATACTTGCAATTTTCGAACTAAATTGATTGTACTATTAAATAAATAATAAATAAATATTAATAAAAATTTTAAAACGTGAATAAATTTAATTTTTGATTCAACAATTTCCGAAATAAATAAATAAACAAGAAATGCAAAAAATTAATTTATTAATAACAAATAATTAATATTATACTAATATAATAGAAAAAAATCTTGTAACGAAGATAAATTTGTTTAACATATGTGAGAAACGTATATAAATTAACAATAAAATTCCCATCATGTGAATATAATTTTTTTTTTTTTTTATTTTTCTTATGTTGATGGAAATTTATAATTTAAGAGCAAAAAAATAATGAATTCAATGGAATTATATAGTCTATAACAAACTAAAAGGTGACAGTTCTAATATACTATATAAACCACGCCCCTCTAATACATAGTGCACCTAAAGTGCAACAAAATCCACTCTATTCTCTGTACATATAAGATCGAATATGGCAATACAATTTGTGGTATAAATACTCTGGGATACGCTTTAACTGAGTAACAATTCAAACGACTACCCCCTTACACTCAACAGAGTCATTCTGATAAAACACAAAATGTTCAAGGTAAATTTTTCTAAAAATTTTCCCCCTTTTTTTTTGCAAAACAAATTTTTGTCCCTTTTTTTCAAAAAAAAAAAAAAAAAAAAAATTTACATCAAAAATTGACATCGAAAATTTTATGGTAGAATAAAAATTTTTCTAAAATGAAAAATTATTTTTATTGTTATATAAAAATAATAATATTATTATAGTAATATAATAATAATTATATTCTATCATATTATAATTAATGATAATAATAATTATAATAATAAAATAATAACTATATATACAATTTAGATAAATTAAAATTATATAAAATTATATTCTTCTATTTCGTAAAAAGAAAATTTTTTTTCCTCACTAAAAAGTGTATAAGTGCATTAGTGAAATCAGTGAATAATAGTGAATTTTTGTGTGAATAAATAATTAAACAGTGATTAATCATTAATAGTTTTTGAATTTTTAAAAATTTCAATTTTTAATAAAACATTTTTTTTTTTTATATGAAAGCAAAAGAAACTGGATATAACATACTTTTTTTGAATTGAAAACCAAATCAATGAGATAAATTTAATTTAAAAAAAAAATATATATATCTGCGACACCGGATAAAAATAAAGATTCGATTAAGAAAAATTATATTTAAATTTAAAAATGAATGCCTATTAAATTAAAATTTTTAAGGAAACTTTTCTCAATAATTTTTAAGGGATCTAAAAGTGATAAAATACAATTTGCTCTCAATCTGTCTTTTTTTAATAGCAGTGGACGAAAATAGATTATTTTATTACATATATATAATCAATACCAAAAAACCAATTAATCAATAATTCATTAAATATTCAGTTACTTTAAAAATACACATTTAACTGATTTATTTTGTTTTTTCTCATCTTGTATATCAATTAACAAAAATAAATTGTTAAACAAATTTGTTTTTAATTAAACCAATTTGTTGATTTTTTTTCTTATTTGTTTCAGTATTATTTATATCAAATAATTCAATTTTCATTTGGCTAAATATAAATTTATTAGTTAATTAATATTGTTAAATAAAATGATTTAATATAATTTTTATTTAACTGAATATTCATTTATTTATTACCTAAATTAATATTATTTAATTAAATTATTTAATGTAATTTTTATTTAGACAAATACATAATTTCCTTTACATAATTTTTATAATCCAATTTTTAGGTGTCATAATTTCAATTTCAAAGAATATTTATTCTGTCCAAATTTTTATTTAGCCAAATTTTTTATTGACAAATTCTTCAAAATATAGTAATTTTCATTTAATCGAAATTTTATTTGGCCAAAAAAAAAACATTTTTCATAAGAATTTTATTGAGAATTTGAAAATTCGGCTAAATAAAAGTTTTTGTTAAACGAAAACTCTGCTATAAATTAAAAAATTTACTGAAATAACAATTTGGTTAAATAAAAAATTCTGTTAAATGCCAATTCGGTTAAATAAAAATTCTATTAATGCCAATTCGGTTAAATAAAAATTTTGCTAATTGTAAATTTCACTAAAGCAATAATTAATTTAAATAAAAATTCGAAAATATTTTTTAAATGAAAATAAATATTTAAAATTTTCTCTTAAAAAATGTTTTTAATTATAAAAGTTAAAAAATAAAATTAATGAAAAAAAAACAATTTTACAAACTGAAAAAAACTTATTTATTTATTTTTTTTTTATTCTCAACAGATACTTGTCATTGCGAGTTTACTCGCATTATCAAGTGGATATTTGAATCATGGACCAACAATAATAAATCCACCAAATTATGGATTATATCCAGGAGGATATCAAGTTCGTGAACATGGATTAGGAATAAATGATGGCAATTATTTGTCATCACATAATCCTGGATTAATTCCAATACATGGAAGACCTCTAATACCAGCAATTCAACCATTGGGTCATACTGGTTATGCCTATGCACCTGCTGCAAAAAATCATTTATCATCATCAGCAGTTGCCGTTGTTCCACGAATTCAACATCAGGCGTATACTGGTCAAATTGGACATTTAGGTCATTTAGGACAAGTGGGACATTTGGGTCAAATTGGTCAAATTGGTCATTTTGGTCAAGTTGGTCATTTAGGTCAAATTGGTCATTTGGGTCATGTTGGTCATTTAGGTCATAGTGGTCATTTAGGTCAAATTGGTCATTTAGGTTATCAACAACATGGTGGTCAGGGAAATTTTGTTGTTCCACCTAGTGTCACTTTTTCACAAAATGCTCCACAAAAAATTGCGCCTATTTCACCTGTTTCTAATTCCATTCGAATTCCTTATTCATTTCCTGTAATTAATGCCCCCCAACCACTTTCCCAAGGTGTTGACCATTCAATTTCGGCTCACGCTCACGGATGGTAATTTTAATGTGAAGAATCTTGAAAAAAAAAAAAAATTTCTTAATCACACTCTTCATTATAAATTATTTTTTTTTTTTATTATTCATTTTTTCCTCGTCATTTTCAATTTAATTTACCCCCCCCCCCTCTTCGAATTCGGCCAGTAGAATATTCTGGATTATTGGAATTATATTATTAAATATTATTAATAAATTATTTTTTTATAATTAATTATATTATATAATTAATTGTATTTTATAATTAATTATATTATATAATTATTGGAACAGAAATATTAAAAAACAAAATTTACTTTTTATATTTTTCTTTTCTAAATTCGAATTTTAAATACAAATTTGAAGAATTAAAGAAAAACTAACATTACTTCTCATATAATTTTTAAAAAAAATTTTAATTATCGAAAATCATTGTAGGTGTAATTCTATCTTATCTTCAATCAAGAATTTTTTTTTTCTAATCAAAATTTCTTCATGTCACGATTTTTAATATATATCAGTAAAATGTTAATTATATTTTACTTTTTATATATATTGATTATGTATAATTATATATCATTTTTTATATATAATATAATATTATAGTATCCTTGAGAAAATAAATTATACTGCATTTTTGAATTTTTTCATCAATTTAAAATTTAAGTCATTTTTTTATAATCATTTTTTTTAAATCCTTTTTTAAAATTATTTTTTAAAACCATTTTTTTTAAAATCATAATTTTTGTAATATTTATGTTTTTATTTTTGAAGAAAAAAAATTTTTTGCAGCAAAAATATATAAAAAATAAAATAAAGAGAAAAATGTGCATAAACCTGAAAAAGTGTACTTTCATTGCTGAGAGATGGAGTCAATTATGACTTAAATCATTCTTGCGTCATTGGAGATCTCGTAAACGTCGGCATTGTATCACTATAGGGCTATAAGCCTCAGGCTCTCCTTCCGATATAGCAGGCGTGGTCCAGCCAAGTGTTCCAATTTCAAAGATGAAAGTGACGATTAAAAACGAAAAAAAAAAAAATTAATTAATCCTATGTATTGTTCTATGTGACACATGTCATTCATTCAGGCGAAAATACTCTATAAAGTTCTTTTAAACTTTTCCTTTTTTTTTCTTCTTATACAGAAAAACTCCTTTTTTTATGATAACTAATTAAATAATAATTGACTTATCAAATCATAATTTTGCTTCAATACATTTTTTTTTTATTGTGGTATTTATATCATATATTATAAAATAAAATTTATTGTATATCAATTTATTCTTATATTAAGAGTATCGATAAAATTATAATTAAAAATTTATGCACAAAATAAATAAATATTTTAATTGTATAAAAATAAATATATAAATTTTATATTCAAAAAATTCTCTAATGCGAATTAAATTTTTATTTTAAAATATTTCTTGTTTTTCAATGGTGTTTTTTTTTTTCTTAACAATAATGAAGATATATTTTCGAGATATATAAAAAATTCTGCAAACTATTTTTAACGACCTTCGACACAGAAAAAAGGGACTCTCAGTTACCTTGTTTTATGCTGAAATTGCGAAATTTCCAACAGAATAAATCCCCAGTGAGATCGGAATCTGAATTTTGATTTTTTTTTCCAAGATCAAAAATAAATTCAAAATTTATTTATATTTATTTCAAAATAGGGATTTAAAATATATTATTTAAAATTTACAATAAATTTAAAAATCGCGAAACTTTTAATAAAATTTTTTATTAATTATTAAATTTCATCTATAACTATTTGCAATTTTTTTTCTTTTGCAAAAAATTTTGTTTCAAAATAAAATATATATATATATATATATATATATATATATATATATATAAAATGTGATTTAAAATATTTTAATATTTGAAAAAATATAATAAAAATTGATGAGCTTATTTTTAAATTTCTTTTCAGAATATAAATAAAATAACTTAATTTTTAATAATTTGATGAAAATTTAAATAAAATCTCTCTTTTTCTTCTTAAGATATGAAAAATAATAAATATATTAACTTCAAAATGAAGTATCAATGAAATGATGATTATTACTTTTATGTAACGTGAATGACCTTTCTCGTTTCGTGTGAGAACATTCAACTTCTGAACTTTGAATATTATATATAATAATATCGAAAAATTCGTAACTTTAATTATTTATCTTTATCTGATAATTATAAAAATTATAGATATACAATTTTTTTATTTCTACTTCCTTTTCCTTTTTTTCTCTTCATTTCTATTTTATTTTTTTTTTGCACACTTTCTTTTATTGTAATATCAAATCCTTTCTTCTTTTATTTCAATTTTTTTTAAATTTCCATCTCACCTAATTTTTTACGCTTTTAGATTCAATCTCAAATATATAATAAGATTTCAAATTTTTTTACTGTTTTTAAAATAATTGTGTTATAAATTTTTTTTTTTTTTGTCTAATTTTAAGACTTTTTTTTTCTTCGCATGAATTGCGTCACAATTAACAAAATAGATTTCGAATTAGTTCCGTAAGAAAGTTTCTGAAGAAAGTAAAGTACTGCTAAGGTATATAAAAGGGCTTTCATTTCAATAAAGAAAGTAGTTCAATTTCTTCTCTTATCTGGGAATATATTCCATCCACTGTCATGGAATTCAAGGTAGAAATATATTTTTAAATAAATTTTTTCTTGTAGAAAATTTTATTAATAATTAATTTTTCATATAATTTATAATTTTTTTTTTTAAACTAATTTTTCAAATTGTTATAATTAAAAAAAAAAATTATCTATTTTTTCAGTTAATCGTCCTTTTCACAGTCTTCTTAGTGGCTAGTGGAACAACTCAAAATTTAAATAATAAAAATAATAATCGATCAACAATAAAATCAAATAGAAATTCTTCTAACAGAGGCAACAATCGATTTCAAAATAGACCAAATTTTCGAATAATTATACCGGAAACAGTAACAACACAACGAACAAGATCAACAACAGTGCAAATTTCAAGTACAACTCCAAATTCCATAACTTCAAAAAATGGTGAAAATTATCGTTTATTACCAATAAATTATCAGACAGAACAATATCGAGGACCAAATTTTCAAACTCAAAATCACAAAGAAAAATATCAAACTCCAAATTATCAACCTATTGACGAATCTCAAAATATTTATCAAACTCAAAATTTTCAACAAAACACATATCCGACTTCAAATTCAAACTCAAATAAATATCAAACATTAAATACCGAATTGAAAATAAATCCAATTGAAAATTTTGATATGAAAAATTATCAAACATCAAATTTTGATTCAAAAATAAATAAATCACAAAATTTTGCATTAAAAAATTATCCCAACATTCAAAATTCAGAGTTGAATAATTATCAAAATCAAAATTCTGATCTTAATAGTTATCAAACACAAAATTTTGAATTCAAAATTTATCGAAATTCTGATTTGAAAATTAAACCACAAAATTTGGGATTAAAAAATTATCAAACACAAAATTCTGATATAAAAAATTATTACAATAAAGAATTGAATAATTTTCAAAATTCTCAATTAAATAATGATCAAATACAAAATTCTGATACAAAAAATTATCACAATAAAGAATTGAATAATTATCAAAATTTAAATAATTATCAAAATTCTGGATTAAATAATTATCAAACACAAAATTTTGACAATAATAATAATTATCAAATTCAAAATTCCGATACAAAAAATTATCAAAATACAAATTTGAAAAATTATCAAACATCTGTACCACAAAATTATCATCATAAACAAAACAAAAATATTCAATTGTCCAATGTTTATAATGAATCACGTGACATAAATTATTATCAACCAACGAATTATCATAAACATGGAAATAATAATAATAATTATCAAACGAAAAATTATCAAAATCCAAATTTATATTATTTTGAAAATAATAAATCAACATTGCCAATTAATTATGTAACAGAACCAAGTGTCGCGCAATCAGTGAAATACAATAATAATAATAATAATAATTCGAAAAAAAATAATGTGAAATCAGTGATTATTTCCAATAATCAACGTGTTCCATCGGAAACTGTTAATTTTGGATCAATTTCTCCAGTTGCTTCACAAATGTCTTACAAAATTGTTCCGGTAACACAAAAACCACTTTTAAAAATTGTCAAAAAAATCGCCTACTCACCGGCAAATGAAGTTTCACACGTTACATTCACAAGTGCAAATGGAAAAATTCTATACAAATGGTAATTGCCGCTAATTAATTATATTGTAATTTTATATTTTTTTGTATATTTTTTCTTTATTTTAATTCTAATTTTAATTTACTTTATTTTTATTAAGTAAATTAATTTATAATTATTAATTAATAATTTATAGTTGGTTAATAATTAAGTGATTATTAATTAATAAATTTAATTAATAATTATTTAATTATAAAAATTATTATATTGTAAGAAAAGTCCCAACGCTACGGATGTGTTTTGTATATTTTGTACTTTTGTAAATAAATTTTTTATTATCATTAAATTTTGCAAATTTTTTTTCACATTTAATTTATTTAAATTAATATAATGTTCATGTATTTATTTAATAAATATACAAGTGAATTTTTGTATGTTTGTAATTGCCCTCAATTCAGGTCAAGATTAAAATCAAGAGAGGCGTATATGTGTGTGTGTTTTGAAATCACCCATTAATTTTTTTTTTTAGTGATTTAACAATTTTACAGTTATATAACATTTAACATTTAGCATCAAAATGTCTTATTTGTTATTAATTTTCTTTTTTTTTACCTTAGTTTTTCACTGGAAAATCTCTATTTAAAATAATTAAAATAAGATACTAATTATTGTAATTAAAATAATTCGTTTGCAATTATGATACATTCACTTCTTCATATAAAAAAATTTTCAAGAATCATTATTAGTTATGTAACAATAATTCTAATATTAATATATGGGTAACGAAAAAAAGATTATTTAATATAAATTATTTTTTTTTTAATTTTATTTAATTATTTAAAAATTAAAAAATTATAACAAAATTAATTAATAAAAATGTAATAAATTTTTTAAAATTTGTAATTAAAAATTCCTTTTTTTTTAAAATAGGAATTATTATAACTTTTAGAAATTATTTAAAAAGAGGGTAAAAGGGGCTATTAATTGTTTTTATCGTGGGTATTATAAATTTTGGGCGTGGATATTTTATCTTTTGCTGGTATAAGTACCATTCTCTGGAATCTCCCACAGATTCAATATCTGGTTCAAGGTTGGATCAAATTATCCGATTTCTTGGGCCGGGAAGGAACTTACAATCGGTTCTTGTATTGCGAGTCATATGTAATGTTTTATTTTTATTTCTTTTTTTTTTTTATCAGCGAAAGTTTCACGATATATTGGGTGTACCCGCCCCGGGCTTTTTAGCAAGACCCCACCCTTTTGGTCCCAACTTTTGGCGTGGTATAAAAGAATTCGAATTTAACAAGATCAACATAGTCAGGAACTTCCAAGTCCAGATCAAACATATTCAAACATGTTCGCCAAGGTGGGTTTTTCAAATTTCACATTCAGTTGAAAAAAATATTTCTTTTTTTTTTGCTAATAATATATCATTTTTTATAAAAATTATTTATTTTTATTATTAATTTATTATTATTATATTTATATTAATATAATTACAATTTTCTAGTTGAAAACACTTTTTTATAGAATATATAGTAAAATAATTTTTATACTGCAGTGGAACCTTGATTACATATACGAAAGTCAAAGAAAAAAATTTATCAAGTTTCTACTGTATTAATAATTATTTGTTCTAATATTCAAGTTTTTCGTAAAATATGTTCAATTACCCTTTTTTTATGCTTGCTAATTTTCGGAAAAAAAAATTTTATATCAAGGTTTCACTGTATTTCCATTTTTTTTTTTTATTTTATACAATTTTATTTGAATCACAAATTAAAATAAAAAAAAAGCATAAGTAATTTTTCAAAATTCATTTCTATTTATTTATTTTAATTATTAAAAAAAAATCTTTTTAAAAATAATTTTTCTTCAATTTTTGTTTCGCTTTTCAGATCGCAATTGTCGCCTGCTTTTTGGCAGTAGCCAACGCTGGATTCGTTCAATATCAACCGGCAGCGTTGACAGCGACTCAGGATAATATTTTACGAAGCCCAGGAAATTTAGCTCAAATTTCAACTCAAAGTAAAACAATTCAAACACCATTTTCAAGTAGCAGCAAATCTGATATTCGCGTAAGCAATCCAGCTTATGTTGCTCACACTGCACCAGTTTATGCTGCTGCACCAATTGCCCAGACATACGCCGCTGCTGCTCCAATTGCCCATACATACGCCGCTGCTGCTCCAGTTGCTCATACCTACACCGCTGCTGCTCCAGTTGCCCATGCTGCACCCGCTAGTCTTCTTGGTGTTGCCTACAGTCCAGCTGTTGCCGTTTCTCACATGTCCTACAGCAGTCCAATTGGTGTCTACAGTTGGTGATTTTTTTTTTTTCAAAAAATATTTTCAATCAGTTCAAAAAATGGTAAAAAAAAAAAAAACTCCCCCGTATAATAAATTGTAAATAAAATATGATAAAATTAAACAAGCTTATTTGACTATAACATTTTTTTATTATTTATCGAAACCACATTTCCAATTTTTATTTTCTAATTATTCTTAATTAATATTTTCCAATTAATCATTTTTCAATTAATTAATTTATTACTACTTGTTTCTTGCTTTGATTATTTATTATTTATTCTCTTTGTATATTTACAAAACACGAATGTCAAACTGAAAGCATCTCTAAAGGCGCTTGCCCCTGTAGCACATCTACCATTCCTTCTTTACAATTTCTCGGGGATTCCCCTTTAATCACTTTTATTAATCTCACATTTATCCCTATTCAAAGAATCCCTATTCTTCCACTTATTCATAAACACAAATAATACTATAATTTATTATAATTATCATCAATAATTACATATAATATTATAAATATAGAATATTTGTTTTCAATTCTCTTTGAATTAAGCGCGGATATTTAAATCGCCTCGCACGTCACTAGTTATTGCGCATGCGCTTTCTATAACACCGCGCAAACGCAGAACTACAACTGACGCAGACGGATGTCAGCTGTTTTGTTGCACGCATCGTAAGCTGAGTTGATCATTTTCCATGAAACAGTTCTGCAGCTTTGTTTCCTCTTGATTGTACTGTATTTCTTTGTTTATTTGGTGGTGAAGAGAGAAGAAAAAATTGTGTCAACATAATTGAAAGTGTGGAAAACTCTATACAATTCGAGGTGATTCATGATTGGGCAGTAATACTGTGATTTAGAAACAAAATTTTTACTCAGCTCCGATATAAACCCGAGAAAGAGAGACAAAAGGTGGTGTATGTGTGTGTGTGAACAAAACATCGCGTCAAAGTGTCGACAAAGGCTTTCTCATTCAAAGTGGTATAAGTGTATGTGTGTGTGCTCTTCTGTGTAAAAATTATACAAGTGGACGAAGAAATCATTTTTTTTCCCTCCCTGGGTGAACACATTTTCGTATCGTCATTTACCAAGTGGAATTTAAAGAGATCCGAGTGGCGTATTCAAGAGAAACAAAAATAATGGCGCAGCCGAGTTCTAGCGCCGTTAGGGCTCTTGCCCTCGAATACAAAAGTCTCCAGGAGGAACCCGTCGAAGGATTCCGCGTCAAACTTGTTAATGAGGACAACATGTTCGAGTGGGAAGTTGCAATTTTTGGACCACCAGACACTCTCTATCAAGGAGGCTATTTTAAGGTTAGTTAATTTCACACTTGTATTCACTTCCTTGGATATAATATTGTAAAGTGACGCTTCAGAGCAGCCATCCGTTTGTTTTGAATGAGAGGTCAGTTTTGTTTTTAGCAATTTGTAACAGTAAACATTTTTTTTTGAAATTATTATCTTTTTAATACTTCAGTGTTATTTTTTTAAATTGAAATTCAGATGTTTTTTTCTTAGAACGCTGATTTTTATGAATTTGGTTTTCAAATCATTAAAAAATTGTCAACAACTGAAAAAAAATGTGTTTACTTCAGTAAATTGGAGTTAATTTTATTTAGATGTTTAGAATTTTTTTTGTAAGTTTCTTGAATTAAATCCATATATTATTGGAGAATAAAAAAGGAATAATATTCAATGAAATTAATTAACATCAGCTGATTTGGGCAATATTAGTTTGTATTCCTAGACATTAAATGATCGATCCACAAAAAACAATCAGATTTGTATACATATACAATAATTATTGTTAGTGATGTGAGGGGATGATGAGGGGGTCCATACACGTGCAGCTTGAGAGTGTTGGCAATGCTGACAACGATGATAGCGATGCGCATGAATAAAATTCTCTACCCTACTAATAGGGGTTGAAAAACAAGAGTAGATTGACGTAAAAACAGAGGGTTGAGTGTTCAAAGAAAAAAAAAAAAAACAAAAAAAAAAAATACCTTTTGAAGAATATTTTTTTTCTTGATGATTTTGTATATTATTCTTCGCGGTCAAGGCAATGTCAACATTTTGTATGTCATGATTAGTTAGAAACAATTGTTTTTGAGATAAGAATCAGTCAAGGTCATGTATTATCTCCCTCATAAACCATTTACAAGATAGATTGACATTTTATTCGTAATCCGAAATTATTTACAAAATGTTATATATAAAATTGATCTTATTTTGTTTACTATAATTATAATTTCCAGGATTTTACATATATAGTCGAATTTTTTATATTTTATTGAATTTTATAAAAGAAATTATATTAATTCGATTTTTCGTACTGTAGAATTATTTAATTTAACTGAGTAATATATTATTCAAATTCGAAAGTTTGTAATATATTTATATAGAAATATTGAGTTCACAGAAAATCTATAACACTGATCTACAAAGTTCGTTTTTTTTTAATATAAATTTGATTTCATTTAATAAATTTTACTTGATGGAAAGCATTCGTGTTATATTTATAGTTTTGCTCTCGCGCGAGAACGTCTGGCCTCACCTGGTGAAAGGATAAGTTTGACTCTCCTTCTTTCGTATAATAGTATATATATATATATATATATATATATATATATATATATATATATATATATATATATAGAATTATTTAGACGTGTTTATATATGTGAATTATCTCCGTGAAAAATAAGAAGGTAAATATTAATTTGAAAAAAGAAAATTAATAATAATTAATAATTTCCAGAGAAATACAATAAAAAAAAAATCGAGCATATCAAATATATAGAAAAGTTAATTTCATTTAGTTTCCCTGTTGACATAAGTCGTGTAAATTGTATTCGATTTGGAGTTTAATTTTGAAATTTTAATTTTCTCTCCTTGAAGCAAAAATTAATTTTTTATAATTTAAATTACAAAATGATTTGCTTTTTTCAGCGATTCTTAAAACATTCGATTTAAAAGTTAATAAAAAATAATAGTTTATTATTATTATTAATTTTAGGATCTGCGGAAGTGAAAGCAATTTAAAAAAATTACTAATAGAAAAAAAGTAACATAAAATTAGTTGGCTACTTTTTTGTATTAATTTTTTTTTTTTTATGTAACAACTGCTACATTAAGGACAAAACGTGATTTTCTTTTAAAGACCGCGATGATGGGTATTGTGGAAAATAGTTGTTGTTGTTACTTAATCGCGAAATTTTTTCACAATTATAGAAACGATTACGCCATGTTAATGCGCGACCTTCTTCGATTTGACGGATTATGATTCGTTGTCATTGCAAGGCCTAACTGCGCCTTTTATATAAATCGTCAACAAATCATTTGGATTATAATTATAAATAATTTGGTGGGAGGAGAAAAAAAAATTTTTTCCGAACAATTTTCACGCAATTTATAAAAAAATTGAATTTTTTCCATTAATGTTCCTAAAAAAAAAAAAATTATCTCTTTTTTGTGATTTCTAAATTATTTTTACCTCTCAATTGTTTTTTGTATGTTTTTTGTGGCTTTTAGTAAAAGTTGTGTATTTTCCTTTTGATTGCTCTTGAAACTTTCATTCGGTGGATTAACTTTCATTAAAAAAGAATTATTTTTCTCTCAACTATATATATATATATATATATATATATACATATAACTGATGGTACTCGGTTGTTACTGAATGCGAAGAATCAGAGTTTTCACTTTCTTAGAGTCGAGTTGTGGCCATTTAAGATACATACATACAACTTGAACGAGTGAGTTCTTTGACCTTTCCTAAAATCAACCCAGTATAATTAGATTTGGCCAGACGTAATTGCCCGGATATTAATAATGAAATAATAAATCGCGTAATCAAGAAAAACAATGTTTTAATTCCCTTTTTTGGAAAACAGCATTTTAATTTCTTAAAAAAAAAGAAAAAAAAACCCTTCATTTGAAATATTATATTAATATATTTAATATATTAATATAAAATAAATAAATATTAATATAAATAATATATTAATATTATTAAACTTTTGAAAATTAAACAAATTTTTTTGTTTTCATAATTGGAAAAATTTAAAAATAAAAAAAGAACTTAAAGAAATTTTTCTTAATGGAAATACACAAATTTTCTTATCAATCAAATAAAATTAATTTGAAATTAATATTTATTTAGCTCATGAAACAAATATATTTTTTCTCCAGATAAAATAAGTTTTTTTTTTTTAAATAATTATATTTATGTTTTAAAAAAAAATTGCAGAATTATGTATATATATATATATATATATATATATATATATTGCTATAATCAGATTCCAAATTGGTCATTGTTTTCGTATTTTGAAATTGAAATACTCTTGGAGAGTTATACCTCTGGCGAATAAAAGCTTTTTACCCGCGTTTCTATATGCAATCCGCTTTCTAAATCACTCTCCATATTCACCTCCCTGTGAACTATATATATATAAGTCCAAAGAAGTATCATATTTTTTTTTTTCATCGAGAAATTAAACAATTTATATATAATTATTTATATACACTATTACTATACTGAAAAAAAATTTAATTCAAACAATCAGTAACTTATCAAATAAATATTTATTTGTATCTAATAATTATTTATTTTTATCAAATAATTATTTGAGAGTCAATATTAGAACCTATTTATTTTAAATAAAAAAAATTATTTCCAATATAAAGTTATTGATTTGATTCAAATATAAAAATTATTTGGCTCAAGTAAATATTTACTTTTGGTAATAGTCAAGTAAAGGAGTATTTGAATAAAATAAATTTTTTTGTATTTAATAAACGAACACCTATATATATATATATAATATTATAAAAGAGCATTTTAAATAGAAGAGACAATACTTTAAATAGAAACAATAGCGTTTCAACAAGAATTTCTCGCTCTATTGTGCCATCCTACGTAAATCTTGATTACGACAGTCGAACTCAGAAATAAAAATCAATTAGGTGCATTACACAATAAATCGAACGCAAAAAGAAAGTAGAGTGATTTTAATTAAAGAATTTAAAATTTCTACTAAATAAACAAATTTAATGACGCATATGTTCATTTCTATATCAAACTTACAATTCATTAATTAATTTATTTGAATAATTATAGTTATATATTAATTAAATTAAATAGTTCCAAAAGTTGATAATAATTATTAGCAAATGTAAATAGTTTTAGATATATTAATTAATTAGTTTAAACTGAAAAATATGTTTCTATTTCAATGCAAAAATTATTTTTTTAGTCTTCTATAATGTTCTTACATGATGGAAGTCGTAGAAATTCAGGAAAGGATTATGATGGCATTGGGATTTTCCCGAATTGAAACTTATTTTTTTTAAAGATTATTAGCATATTTATATATTTGTATATTATTTATATTGAATTTAGGGGGAGAAATTTTATACGTGCTTAAAAAAATTCATATATATATATAATATAAAATAATAAAAAAGGTGATTCCTGATTTTCAAATAATTCCACTTATGACAACTGGGTCGCGAAAATGTCTCGGTCGATCTTACTAGAGCGAATGGAATAGGTTGAATGAGGTCATCGTCTTTCTGGAAATGAGGTCAAAATTTTGAATAGGCTTTATTCTGCAAATTCTATGAAGCTGAAGTACGCAACGTTTATATAAACGATTTTTAAAGAAATAATTTTTTAAAATGAAAAATTCTATATATTTTTGCCTAAAAAATATTTCTTGTAGTTTTCATTAATCAACAAATTATAAAAAAATATTTTTTAGGCAAAAAATTATAGAATTTTTTATTTTAAAAAATTATTTCTTTAAAAATCGTTTATATAAACGTTGCGTACTTCAGCTTCGTCAAATTCTCGTGCACCGAGAGTTTATGTTGATAATTCTACTCAATTTTTTGAAATACTTATTTCGTATCACTGAAAAAAAAAAATTTATAATCGGTTATTTGACTGTTATCAAATAAATAATTAGCAAATAATTTTTGAAAACCAAATAATTATTGAAAACCAAATAATTAAATTAAATAAATTGTATTTGAATCAATATATTCTGTATTTGAAACAAATATCATTTAATTGACTCAAATAAAAATTATTTGATTCAATGGAATATTTATTTGATAATATTTGATTATTTGAATCAAATAATTTTTTTTCTGTATAAATTTAGATTTGTGTTAAATTGTATATTATACTTAATTAAAATGAGTATATCAATTAGAAAAAAAATTGCAATTAACGTGTGTATTATAAATCTCAACACGATAAACAGCAAAACAGGTATAATGAGAAATGATATGAAAAAAAAAACGTGTAATCACATCTCAAGACCTGGAAGTCTGCACTTCATTGAATTGCATAATTTCCTCACATCATAGATTATTCAGGTTTTTAAAAAAAAAAATTCTTTTTTTCCACTATCTGAAACTGTATATAAATTATTTTTATTTATATCAAGTAAATTAATTACGATATTTATAAATAGAAAGTTTTTTTTTTTTTTTTGCTATAATATTTTGGTTTTATGTTATTATAATTTCTTTTTTTATTTTTATTCTTCCTGAATTTAGGAAAAAAAAATTTGCTTCCATGGTTTTTGTTATGATATTTTTGGTTGTATTATTGACTGAACTAAAAATTAAAAATATATATATTTTCAGTTGAGTAAATGAAAAATTTTGTCAATAAGCAAAAAAAAATTTATTGTGACAATGAAAAGAATTTTTTTTTTTTTCATTGAGAAAGACAAATCTTTTTTTTTATGATTTTTTATAAATTGACGAATTGTAAAATAATTACAGAATAATATTTTTAACTATATGTAACTGCGCACGTGAGACACGGTGTCGTGGATCGGTTTGGTAATTAGTTCCTGGAGATTTAATAGTCCAATAGAATTGCTAAGTTTATCGAAGTCAACCAAAAACTCATTTACATGTGCTTGGCAATTTCAATTAGAAATAGATATACATCTTAGCTGGTAACACTTTTCTCTATACAATTTAAAAAAATTCAAAAGTTTTTTCTTTACAATTATTTTTTTTATGAAACAAAATTATTTATGAAATGAAAATTTTTCATTACAAATGAAAATTACAATGAAATTATTAATATAGAATTTTTTTTAATTTTTCATCTCTTGTGAGACTGTTTTAAAAACATTTTTTTTAGAGAGAAAAACACATATGTAAACTAAGGGGGGTAAAATTTGAGCCTCAAAAGTAGTAGTAGTAGTAGTAGTATAGTATTTGAACAACTGGAAATGAAAGTAGGTTACCTCTAGGGGGGATCCCAGAGGATGGGAGGATATTTGGGCCATGACCAGGTCGCGATCAATATAGCGTCCCGTTGGCGAAGCTTCACCAAAGTCCGCCACACTCGCTATATACACATAACATCGAAAACGAAATTTGCTTCTAGCGGGCAATTTGCCCAAATCGAAAGCTCTAAAGGATACATCACAAGAATGAAATAATAAATGAGAAATTGAACCCGGAAAAAATAATAAATCTTTTTTTGACAAATTCTAAAATAATACATTAAAATTTTTGCAATTTATTTTGAAAAATGTTAAAACACATTTTCTTTCAATTAGGTATATATATCCTTTGTTTAATATTTAATTAATTTTTCATTTCACTTTATATTTATAATTATTATTACTACAATTATTAATAATTACTATTAATTATTTTACTTTATAGTTTAACAGTCTCATTTTTCAAAATTAAAATTTTTTTAATAAATTTCTTATTTTTCTTTTTCATATTTTAACAGTTTAATTATTTTTCAAATTTGCAAAATAATTTGTAATTTTTTGTATAATAAATTAAATTTATTTTCTGTTTTTATTAATTATTTTCTTTTTTTATTTACAGGCACACATGAAATTTCCACCAGATTATCCATACAGTCCACCAAGTATTCGTTTCAAGACAAAAGTTTGGCATCCCAATGTTTATGAGGTGAGTGTGAAAAGAAAATAATGATTTTTCAATTATTTTTTAATATTATTCTTATAATTATTATAATTATTATTAATATTATTATCAAATAATTATATCGAAAATTACAATACAGTAAATTTTACTTGACCATTATATTCACAGAATAGAAATAAGTAAAATTTTGGTCTAACGGTTATTTAATGAAAGAGTTGAAGGAAGAGGAAATTTTTTTTTTTTTAATGATTCCTGATTTCTTTTGTATGTTCTTTATATTATGGAATATAATAATATATATATATATATATATGGTTTCTTGTATTCCTCCCTCGTACGACCCTTCAGTAGATAGAGAAGAGCTCGATGTCAACGACCCATAAGCTTTAAAGACACGTAGCATGTGTTACTTCATGTTCATTGTACAAATATTGTAGCAATGACTATATATATATATATATATATATATTGCATAAACATGATTCTATGTTAAAACTTAATTCTTATATTCGTCCATCATACAATGAGAAAAAAAATTGATTTTAATCAAATAATTGGTTTCTTGAGTATATAATCAAATAAATATATTTTCTAGAACCAAATAAATTTTTATTTGAGTCAATTCAATTTTTATTTGTTTCAAATACATAAATTATTGGTTCAAATATAAATAAATAAAAGTTTATTTTAATTCAAATAAAAATGATACAAATAAATATTTATTTAAAATAATTATTATTTGGAACTAATTAAAAAATATTTGTTTCAAGTATATAGAAATATTTTTGGTTTAAATAGAGTTTATTTAATTGAAATAAAAATTATTTGGTTCAAATAAATATTTATTTGATAATAGTTGATTATTTGAATTAAATACAATTTTTTTTTTCAATGTATCATATACAAAACTATCAATAATAGAACGATTATTCGTTGTATCTATACAAATGGTTAAAATTATCATTCGTAGAAACTCCAATCGACTTTTTTTTCAAACTCCCACGTAGTTAAAACTTGTGTGTTTTATTTTTAAACAGTTTTTTTTTTCTAAAAGTTCAAATTTTACTTTGTTAAAATCAAAAGAAAAGAGGAGATAAAAATAGACAAGTATCTTGACGAATTCATGTGATCGTTCTTCTTTTTCTTCTTCTTCTAAATTTTTTTTTTTTTTTGTTTGTTTACTATTTCTTGCTGCCTGCTCTATGAAATGACGTAAATGGCGCACTCACTTGGCACGAAAAATGCTTCTTGGCGAAATTTCTATTCAATTCTTTTTTTTCATCATATTTAATTTAAAAAAAAAAAAAAAAATTGCTCTGAATTTTTGTGTTTTTAAAATTAAAAAATTGTGACTCAAAATTGAAATTCAAGAATAAGTGAATGAATTCTTCTTCAATTATATTAAATAATCATTAAAAGAAAATATTTTTTCAGTATGAATAAATTCGCAAATAAGTGAAATATGATTTTGATATGTGAAATTTTCAATTCAAATAAAAATATTTGACTCGTTTCTTTTTATCGGCAGATGTTATTTTCAAACGAATTTATATTTTTATGTATGTATATATATATATATATAAATATAAATATAATAGCGCATGACTAAAACACGTGCCAACTAGTGATTATTTCTACATCACGTTCCTCTTTCCAAATCAATGAGCTATTTCTAAATAACGATTTTTTTTTATCATTCACTTTAACATTAAATAATAATCAAAAAAGAAGAAAATTTTGCAATTTTTTAAAATTGGAAATTAAATTTTTTCTTTATTATTATATTTTGAAGTTAATGACCCGCGATCTAGGATTATGCAAGTAAAAAAAAATCAAGCCAATTCAGTATATATAGACACCTTGTAAATTTCTCCATTTTTCTGGTTCTACCGGTTTTCATGAGAGGAAAAACAGAGAAACGACCGATAAGCAAAAGTGGATTTGTGCTTTTCTTTCTTTTTCTTTATTTTTTGATATATATATATATATATATATATATATATATGAATATTATTGCAATTGCTTGAAATTATATTTATCCTGATATGCTATTATTATATTGGAGTTTTTTGGTTTTATTTTATTTTATTTTTTTTGGGGGGAGATCGTAAATACAACACACGATCGAGAATAAGATTCAAAAAGAAATGTGAAAACTGGTTTGCAACTTTGTGTGGTTTTTATGATTTTTTTTTTACTGCACATCTCTTTTTTGCGATTGTTTTCTTCTATAGAACGATTATTATAGAGAGTCTTTGTATATAAAATGTAAATTTTTATGAAATATGAACATCAGCAAATGAATGTTTTATTTATACGTTTTTTTTTTTTTTATTTATATACGCCCAGTGAAAAAATTTTTTTGATTTAAAGAAACCAATTTCTTTCATTCAAAATAAAATTTTCTTTGAGAAACAAAAAAAGCTTTTTAGTTTCAAAGAAAATTTCTTTGATTCAAACCATAAAACATTGTTTTTGTTTTGTAGAATTTTTATATATATTTATTTCTTTCATTGAATCATCACTTGAAATTTTTCCAAACAGGAAGCACACCTGGCTTTAAGATCCTTCAGGTTCAGTATTAACGGGACTTTGCTTTTGTGATTTGCCCCCTGTGTGTGCGTGGGAAAAGAGAAACCAAGCAATGTCATTCATTTATATTTTTTAAAAAAAGATTTCAAAATCTGATTCCTTTTTGCAAATATATATATATATATATATGAAACATTGGTATAGTTGTATTATAGTTAAATTATGAATTCTATTTTCATTATTTTGACTATTTTCTAAAGAGAGGATTTTTTTTTTTATTGCTTTTAGTTTGAAGTTTCTCTTAGCTTTTATAACTCTTTTATCGTTTTTAATTTTTCGGGGAAAAAATATTTCTGAAGTTATTACTGATAATTTCAGTTTTTAACACGTCTCCGTGAGATTTAAACGAAGAAGCAGAAATGTTTTATGATTATACACCCAAGTGGTTTATTCGACCCTGAATATACGATCATATATATGTATATATACTCACGGCCAAATGCACTTTCAAATGAATATATACGTCACATGTTGTGTTTCTACAAACCAATGGTGTCACGTTGAAAGGTATATTTCAACTAGTTTGAGCAATCGCCAATAGTTTCAACCCTCGAATATATATATATATATATAATTTAATCCTGCAAATGACGAGAGACATTGAGCTTAGATTTTAATTTAATCCGTTATCTCGTCTGCATATAATCAAGTTATATATATATATATGAAAAATTATGGCGTTTTAATGAAATATTTCGAATCCTGATTGCCTACCTAATGTATATAATTAATGTCGATGAAAATTTTTCTGCCAGTGTCAGACATGAATATATGGAGAAAATTTTCTTTTGATGAATTTTTCCAAGGTTCAGTTAAGAATTTTTCATATTTTTATTTTTACATATAGATTTCATTTTTCAGGGTCACTTTTGATATTAATTCACTGAAAAGAAAAATTTATTTGATTCAAATACTCGATTACTTGATAATTATCAAATAAAAAAATTTATTTGATTCGAATTTTTAAATTCCCGAATTTCCAATTCGCAACGAATTTTCAATTGTCCGAATTTTTTTATTGTTCAAATTAGTGCAAATAAAAATTCTGACAAATGTAAAAAAAAAAAAAAAATTCTTTTAATTCTTTGTGAACAAAGTATATAAAAATATCATTTGTTGGTGATGATGATGCATTTTGTCATTCCAAGTGACCTTTTTCTTTGCGTCTTTCTTAGCCTTCATCTCCATTTTGTTGAACTGCGTTTTCTTTATTTTTCAAGATCATACTTCCTTCTTACATATTTCTGCAATACTTTATATCTGCAAAATTTGTTTCAGAAATTATTTACAAATTTACCAAAAATGTAGAAACATATTTTTTATATCTTGTTTCTGTTGTTGTTCTGTTGTTTTTTAGACGAATTTTCATTTTTCGAATTAAAATTTTACAGAATTTCTTTGTAAACGAATTTTTAAAACGCCAAATTATTATACCTATTTGTCCGAAATTTGCAAATGGTCGAATAAACAGACAATAGAAAGATTTCGGCGCGATTTTTAAAATTCACAATTTTGCTTGACAATTTCTGATTGATGAATTTTAAAAATCGCGCCGAAATCTTTAAGTTTGTTTATTCGGCAATTTGCGCAATTTTGGACAAATAAAAATTCGACGAAAGAAATTGTATAAAACAATTCTTATTCGAAAAATGAAAATTTGTCGAAAAAATAATTTCTAATTATTTTTATATGGGATAATCTTGTGATCAGAATCGAATTACTGAAGACAATTATATCAATGTGTTATTGTGATTTCTAAACTTGTGAATAATAAATATAAATTGCTCCGTTAATGTTGCGGGATACCGTTGAAGGCGGATTTTCAAGCACATTCTCTTTTTCCTCAAGAGTCTGAACAGTAATAATTGATCACAATGAGCTCCTAGAGAGAGAGAGAGAGAGAGATAGAGAGATGTTTTCTCGACTCGCCCAAGCGTATTGCCATATTCGCAAAGACGGCAGCAACAAAACGGCCATGAAGTCTCTTTGTCTCTCTATATACTTTATTTACCAGGTTACTCATGCATTTTACACTTTTCTTTTGTGTGTGCAATTGTATATGTGAATTACACATTTATAAGGTGTCAAATGACATTAGAGTTTACTAGATATATGCAGATTAGCAATTATCAACTTCATTTAGCGCATTATTTTCACTTCATTTCGTGCTTTCTTTGTATGTCAGCATTTAATAAATACCAAAAATTTTATTCTTAAATATTATTATTCTCAATTAGTACTTATGGCAATTAGAACTTTTCAAAAATCACTTACTGGAAGTAATAATTTGGGTTATCGTTCTGAATATTAGTTTTGTATCCAGAATTATAAATGCTAAAGAATTTCAAAAATTATTTTTAGATACTACAGGGAAAAAAAAAATATAAAGTATACATAAAAACTAAATTGAAATTTCTGTTTTGGATTTTTCTATAGGGACAGAAAAATAATTTTCTTTATTGATTTCGAAGAATCAATTAAAAATTTTGCTTCCGGAAAAATTGAAACTAATTTTGATTATGCTGAATCTGTTTCTGATTTCCAATCATTATAGTTCTTATTATTTCGAAGTCTCTTGACTTTTGTTTTTGAATCAAATTCTTCTTTAACTTTCGAAGTAAAATACATAATAAATATTTAGAATTAAATCCACTAGATTCGAAGTAGAATCAAAATCAAAATTTTTTTTCATATGGATTAATCGAGGCAAAAACAACTTTAGTTTTTCAAATTATTATTTTTTTTTTTTTGATAAAAAAAATGATTATGTTGGTGATTCTATCCAAAAATATTGATGATAATGATACTTTGCATTGAGATTGGTCGATGAGGCCAAAGCTTTGTTGTGCGTGTATTGGGGTTGTGTGTCTATATAAAAGGGGAACTTGTGCTTCCAACTCCCGTTGATCGTCCTCGTCGAGGTTAACCTGCCGAGGTCGACGGCTCTGAAGCAGACGGAGCGTACAAATTCTAGTGTCACGTTTTTTTTTATTCAATCCACTAAGTTCTATGGAATAACAGAAAAGTTTTTTAGAAATAAATAGCTAATTTTTATATATTGCATTTTTTTTTATTTAAATTCTAATTTGAGCCATTTATTCAATTCTTTAATTTCTGTTTTTTTTGTACATAAACAAAAAAATAGTTATATATTTTTCGAATTTAAAAAACTTCTGTTATTATAATTAATATCCACAAATTTTGTATTTAATTCTATATGATCTATATTTAAGAGAAATGAAAATTGAAATCCTTTGCGTGAATTCAATTTTATAAATTTTATTTTCAATTAATTGATAACATATTTAAGGTGCTTGTGATTTATGGTATTGGCCTTTAAAGAAACTTTCCTTTAGAATATGGAGATTTAATATGAAAGTTGATGTATGTATATTTTATAGGATAGTATCGCACATACATATGGAAAAAAAGAACGATTTCTACTTCGCATCTTGCACTGAATTGTTTTTTTTCTATTTTTTATTTATTTTATTTATTATATTTTTATTTTACTTTTACTTTTGCTTCGAAAATAAAAAAAATTACTCCGGAATTTTTTTTTTACACTGAAAAAAAATGTATTTGATTCAAATAATTTGTTATATTTTGGATTATTATCAAATAAATATTTACCAAATAATTAAATTAAATAAACTGTATTTGAATCAATAATTTCTGTACTTGAAACAAATAACATTAAAAAAAATAAATAAAAAATAATTGGGTTGAAGTAAATATTTATTTATTAATTGTCGAGTAACCGATTAAAAGAATGAAATAAATTTTTTTTAGTCTACTATTTCTAGAGCAAAAGTTGCCAAAAATTCCCGACAAATTAGAATTTACTTTGGAAGTAGTAAATATTATATTTTATTTTTGTTTTTAATTTTTTTTTTCTGTATACTAAATTTCATTAAAATTAATTAAATCTTCAATAAAATTATTTGTTTTCTATCGAAAGTATATTTCATATTCATGAATATTGTCAGGAAGATTTGAATAAATCTTTTTTAAATTCGTTCACTATGTCGAGTATATCCCGTTTAAAACAAAACAAAAAAAAACAAAACAAAAAAAAAAGGAAACTAGATTAAAAAAGTAATCGAAAAGTCTATTTAACGGAACTTTGTTTGAGGGATCATTCAACCTTTCAATCAAAATGAATGCAGTCAATTTAGAATCATCTTTGCGGTAAAAAGAAAATTTTACGCTAAGGAAACAAAATTTCTCATTCATCTGTAAATTATAATTTAATAGAAATTTTATTTTTCAAAAAAAAAAATAATTGTTTTATTGTTTAAAGTATTTTGATATTTTTATTTAAGTTTCGTATTTATTTAGTATAAAATAAATTAAAAATGAAATATATTTTGATTTCCGCATAGTTTGCGTGTCTTAATTTTTTTTTTTTTTTAGTTTTGGCATATGATTGAGTGGTCCTCAAGCATAGGAGATTTAATTTTTAATCGATGTCGATCGTTTTCATATGAAGGATCGAATTGAGGGACGGTCTATTTTGAGACTGACCTCCGAACACGACAAGGTTCCAAGTCGTATAGAGAGAATACACCACTATCATTGCGCCCTGCCAGAATACTAATTTTAATTTTACATTTTTTTTTTTGTCATAGTCATTTTTTATAACCGTTCGCTGACAAAAAAAATACGTCTTAGTTTCATGAAAATTTATTTATTAATTTTGAAACACATTTTCATTAGGGAAAAAATTTCAAAATTAAATATTTTTAATATATTAATAATTTGTTTCTTATTATATATAAAAAAAAAATTTCTTTTTTTTTTTTTTTTTTTGTTTTTTTTGGATTTAAATGAGAAAATATCAAAATATATTTAAGACAAAATAATTACTCTCTCGCGGTAAGAAATTAGATATCCCATGAGAAAATTTCATTTTAATGTTCCACGAGAATCGATTTAATCATAATCGTCAGACTGCGGCTGCTGGAGATAGTAATTAAATAATTAATAGCACGCTAAACATCGTCTTGAAACAAATACTGTTAAGGTCGTGACATGACTCTCTTAATAATTATAATGGCTTAATAGATCAATATTATTTATTACAATAATTTTTTTTACAATAATTTTAAAAGGAATTTTTTCTATTAAAAATAGAACATTTTTTCAGTACTCATTAAATTGTATAAAAAAAATTTCTTTTTTTATTAAAAAAAAATTCAAATAAATATTTTATAATAATTTATTTATTTTACATTAAATATATCTAAACAGAAGAATTAATTTAATTATCTTAAATTTTTATCGTAAAAGTTTATTGAACCATATAAATTTTTTGTTTGCGCTTATTTTTGTGACATTTTCAACAGACAATTATTGATCAAGCTATACATGTATATATCGATATGAAATGTTAATTCCTCCCTGGGGCTTAAATGTTTTTATTTTCAAGTTTTAGTCAAAATTACCAAAAAAAAAAAATTATTTTTTTTAAACCTCTCTTTAGCAATTTTTAACAGTTTATGAGCTAAAGTGCAAATTTTAACAGCAGTTCGATACTATAGAGAAAAGAGAATTGCCTTGATCTCCATTAAAAAAAGAGACTAATAGGAAATAATTTTATTAGACGGAAAAAGTGCTTCATTTGTTTTTAAAATACTTTATTTCTATTAACTTTTTTTCCTTTTTTTTTTTTTTTTATTTAAAAAATGTTTTGTTTTTTCCTAATGTTAATATTGTTTTTAAAAAAACGTGATAAAAAGAAAAATATTTTTGAAATTTGTAATTAAAAGGAAAAAATAATTATTTTAAAATTAAAATAAAAATTAAATTTAAAAAAAAAATAATTTTTAAAGAAAAAAATAAAAAAGAATTTTTATTATTGATAGTTTTAAAGAAATTAAAATTATGTTTTGTTGTAAAGAAGACAAAAAAAAAAAAAAAAAAAAAAAAAATTGGAATTTTAGTGCAAGCCTATTTAGAATGACCGTGTCAAGCAGTAACGTTTATTCGAGGATGTTGCCTTCGGTGATGCTTATTAGAAGATTTGAGTTTTGCAGAGGCCTCGAGTCTTCTTTTGCCCTACTTGCTGCATGAATCCAAGCTTAAGCTGTACATAAAAGCCACGTCCTCGTCTCAACTTACAATTCTAACTAGAAACAATCCCAGAAATGAATGATAAATTCTTTTTATAGTCTAAAGTTTCCGTATTTTATTTCCCTATAATGAGAAAAATTCAAGGAGAGTCCAAAAATTTTATAAAAACAATTACAATTTTAATTTATTATTTCTTAAATAATTTATTATTAATTATTATTATTATAAAAAATAAATAATAAATTAAATAAATATTAAACTTAGATTTATATTTTTTTTCTCAATAATGAAATAAAATTATAATAACTTTTTCAGAGTGATTTTAAAAATCTAAATAATCCATTTAAGTTAACTGTATTATTATTAACTGCCTTGAAAAATGATAATTTCACGATATTTTTATTTTTACTTTATATTTATGATTTATGTTTTTACATCTCGGTGCATTTTTTTTTATGTCCTTATAAACTCAACTTGAACATTTTAAAATATAAAGTTGATAATTGATATTCCTTTGATGTGGGGTTTTTTTTTTTTATTTAAAAGTATGACGAAGTAAAAGTTAATTAATGGTTTTTTAAAATATGACTTTTGCATCGTTAAAGTGGGTTTTAAGATTTCTGTATTATTCAAAAATCAGTAGGAGTCTTTCAAGTTTTTCAAGAAGAAAAAAATGACCAATTCATAATATTTTATATTTGTATGCAAATGTGAAAAAAAAAATTTTTTTCTGCACTGCTGCAACATATATAGAAAGCAGGATAAATTATCTACGACAAAAGATTATTTAAACCGTGAAAAATTCTTTTATTCGCCTACTGATTTTTTTTTCCGCGATATAGTTTCATAAAATGTAAAATATTGCTTTTCTTTTATAGACGAAATTCGCACATCATTTTTAGAATAAAAAAAAAACAGACTTTCATTAAAATTATTGTTTTTTAAATTTAATAATTCTATTTTTTAGTATATAATTAAATTTACTTTTTTTAATTGTTTATTTTTATTGTATTTATTATAATAATTGTTAAAATATTAATTTAGATTAAAATTATTGTCAATTGAAAGTAAATAATATTTTTGAAAATTTTTTGTCATCTGTGTTAAAAATTTATTTTTCGCTTTCAGAATGGAGACTTGTGCATATCGATTTTACATCCACCAGTAGATGATCCACAAAGCGGTGAGCTTCCATGTGAAAGGTGGAACCCAACTCAAAACGTCAGGTATTAAAAAATAAAATCGAAATTATTTAATTCTTTAAGCCAATAATTTTTCATTTTTTATTTCATTTAATTGGGAAATATTTTTTTACATTCCAAAAATGACTAAATTTCAGCGATTTACAAAGTAAATATATATACTTTGAATCAGTTATTTTTGTGAAAAAAAACGATAAAAGAATATTTAAAAATTTGTTATCTGGAAAATTGATTTTTTATTCTCAAAAATAAGAATAAGTAAATTATAAAAAGTAGTTAATTATTTTAGATTCTTTTCTACGAAATAGAAAGTTAATTTTAATTTTAATTTTGTTTTTCCTTTTTTTAAAGGACAATCCTGTTGAGTGTGATCTCGCTCTTGAATGAGCCCAACACATACAGCCCTGCCAATGTCGATGCCTCAGTGATGTATAGACGTTGGCGCGACTCCAAAGGACGGGACAAAGAATATGAAAATATCATCAGGTAAGAGTTTCCATTGTCCAGAATAATTGTTGGATTCTCTTGAATCTTTTGTTTCGAAAATTGCTTCATTGTCAATTGCGCGCTGAAAACAAAACGATTTTTATATTGAATTTTTTTTTCTCAAAAAGTTGTGATTAATATTTGAAAAAATTCTTTAGAAGGAATAAAAAAATTTTTTTTTCTCCAATTTATGGATTTATTTAGAAAAAAATTCTACTTATTGTCAATTTATGGAAAATTATACAATAACTCACGGAAAGGAATTTGATTGTTTATGAAAATTTATAGAAATTTATTATAGAGTTTATATTATGTGATTATTCACAGAAAATAATTGGAACGAAATCATGCGGAAATTTATGGAATTTTTTTTTTTTTTTTGTCATTTTATTCAATAACACACGGGAAATTATTCGATTGCTTATGGAAAAATTTACTTTTAATAATTTTGTACAATAATTCATTCGATTGTACACCTCGGAAATTTTTCCATCATTTACGGAGACGTTTTTGAAAAATTATAATAGAAAATGCAAAAACCTCCCGGAAAATAATTCGATTGTTCATGGAAATTTGTGAGAATAACTCATGGAAAAATAATTGGATCTTTAAAGGATATTTATGGAAATTTTTTCATCATTTACGGAAATTCATTATCGTAACTAACGGAAAATTTGACGATTAATCGAGGGGGAAAAAAAAGTCGTCAGTTTTTGAAAATTTTTATATATAAAAAAAAGTTATATTAATTTTTATTTCTCATTTTCAAGGAAACAAGCGCAGGCTGCAAAAATGGAAGCGGAAAAAGAAGGAATTGTCGTTCCATTAACATTAGAAGATTATTGCATAAAAACACGAGAAAGGCCTGTCGAACATCAACTTGACATGACAGATTTTTACGATGACGAATATGAGCTCGATGATGATGAGGACGAGCAATTGAGTGCAAGTGATTATGAGGATGGCGACGATAGCGGCAACGGAGAGACGTGATCCATTTCATAAAAAAAAAAGAAACAAAAAAAAAAAAAAAAAAAAGTTTGCGAATATAAAAACGAACTTTTCATCCAGTTCTGTATAGAGTATTAAATTAACGAGCTTCTGAACTGGACGCTGCTGTTGCGTGCGAACATTTTTTTTTTTCGAGAAAAAAAAAGATCATGAAAAAATCGTAATAGATTTTTGAAAAAATTACACAACTTGGCGTCTTTTTAAATTCTGAAGCTTTTGCTTTGGAGAAGAAAAAAAACTCGTTTTAGACTATAAGAGTTACCATATAGTGGTACTTATATAAAAAGAAAAAGGATTTTAAACGCCTAGAGCGTTAAAAAAAATACCCGTTTGATAAAAGCGCAATGTTTTCTTTTTTTTGGGGGAATTGTTGCAGCGATTTGTTTTTTTTTCCTTTCGTATAGTTGTGCAATCTACTTGCCCTTTACTTTATTTTCTTTTTCTAGTTAGTTTTGTTTGTATAATGGAAAATTAACCGCATCCTTTAAAGTCATGGTTTTTTTTTTCTTTAAAGGGTTTAGGATAAATTTTTTTTCTAAATTGAATTTTTTTTCAGAGTTTCAATATAAATTTGAAGTTTTCAATTAATGCATCGATTTAATTTATTATAAATTGTTTGTTTAATTGAATTCATTCTTTTGGCAATATACTCGAAATAAAGATAGCAGGATGAAATATATTGACATCGAATTTTTTAATATACCATCGCCATGAATTTTATTCGAAGAAATGCCCTGTTTGGAAGCTCCTTAACTTAAGCTGTGACGGTTATGAATATAAATACTTGGATAGAAAGCACTGTGCTTGTTGTGTTGTGACTGGCACGTTAATCTTTTCATATTCGACCGGCAAATTATTCCATTCATTGATCCACGAATCATTTTTTTCTCACAGTGAAAAAAATTGTTTATGCTTTCTTTCTTTTTTTTTATTTTAGGAAACTTTTCTTTTTTTCTGTCAATGAATTTTCTATGAGAAAAAAAAATGGGATTTACAAATGGAACTGTATTGCTAAATCGAAATGTAATAATAATGATGATTCACGTGTAGAAGAAAAATTAATTCAGATTTTTTTTCTGTGGTTATTTATGCCTTGAAATCGAAAAAGGAATATTTATAGTAGTAAAATCTAAATAATTGGATTTGTTAAGAGAAAAAAAAAAAAGTTGGAGTCAGGAAAAATCTGTCGATGATGATGAAGATGTTAATTACGATGGGAAGATTTTCATATTCTTCGCGTTAGGTTTAAATGCCAACATATTTAGGCGTAAATTATCTATCTAGATATTCCCTGTCTCTTTACTATTTAACAAATTTTAGAAAAATGGACGTTTTTATTGTTATTTCTCGGTGATTCTTTTAGGCTAAAATTTTTATTTCTTTTAAAGAGATACTAAAATCTAAAAACAGTTGTGTCTCTTATTTTATTTTTATTTAATTATATTTTTAAAGGAAAATTTTTATTTCTACTAGAATTTTTTTCAGTTTGTACTATCTTTTATTTTTATTTAAATTGAAATTTAAGTTTCAACAATTATTTTATAAACATTATACTTGCAATGTAAAGAAAAATATTCTTTTGATGTTTTTTTTTCATTATTTAAGGATATCTAATTTTTAAAGTTTATTTTAGTGATATTAGTATATTTTAATTATTGAAAGTTTTTAGACAAATTTAACAAACCGAGTGATATATCGAAAATTATAAAAAAAAATTTTAATTAGGATTTTAAATTTAAATTGAATTTCAAATTTTTGCAAATTGAAGTATTCATTGTTTTAATTGACATTGACGTTTGAGATAATTGATTTATTCTTGAACGCAGGTCTTCCGTGAAAAAAAAATTCAGTTAGATTTTATTTAAAGAGACTTAAAAGTTTCCCCTCCCTCCTCCTATTTTTCGTTTAAGGCAGTACACCTACAATATGTATTACAAATATCAGAAAAAAAAGGAAATATATATTGCGCTAGGTTTTTAAGAATTAAGAGTTTGGCTTGCGATTATTATTGTCGATGATCTCCAGATGCGATTGAAATTTGTCGATTCACAAGTGAAACAATGCACCATTTTTGCTAATCTTAATTTTATTACGGTGTAAATAAAGCGTCAATTTTTCGATAGCAGACATGGCATCATGTAAAAAAGAATTTTTTTTTTTATCTAAGTTACTGTTTCTCTGTTTACTAGTGAATTTTTGTTAATCGACCAAAATTCACGTGTCAAAAACTTCAATATGTTTGAACGACGAAATAAACAAAACAAAGAAAAAAGCGAAAGAATATTTCATCGCCTCAATGTTCGCTTTTTTGTGCTTGAGGCTCTTTTTAATTCGCATCCTCGTTTCCTTTGGCTGAATTTAATTTTATCTTTTTTTTCAATCCTTTTTCAATTAAACGATTATTTTTTTGTGATAACAATTTTTAAAAATAATTCCTTCTTTTTAATTAAAATAATGATAAAAATATTTTTTGGCTATTATTATTCTTATTAAAAATTGTCAATAATTCATTTAATATTATTTAATAATTTTAATATCAATTATAAGAACAAATAAATTATTTTTATTAATTGTTATCCTTCGAGTCATTATTATGAAAAAAAAATATAAAGAATTGAATGTCGATTGTTGTTCAGCGTGTATTTGTCTGCATTTAAAAAAAAATAAACAGAAAAAAAAACATTAAAGGTGCACGCGATAACGAACTTTGTACTTTTTATACTTAGAACAATGCTACAAATCGGCTGTTCCAATTAAAAATCATTTTTGATTAATGTAATTCACCTGTCTCCACCTCTGTCAAATTGTTAATATCCTTGAAATTTTTCAAGATTTCAATGAATTTATTTTTTATTGTTAATACAAACAGATCTTTTTTTTATGAAACAAAAAAATTATTTTCATAAAAAGGGAAATTAAATAAATATATATATATATATTTTAAGAAAAAAAAATTGATAAATATTTTTATAACAATTTTTTTTTCTTTTGAAATCTTGAATTTTTTTTTAAAATTATGTTAATAATTTGCGTGGAAAGTGTCATAGGTGAAATACATTAATTTTTTTATCACATTAAAATCGCTTTTCATTCAGAAAAGAACATCTTAGAACACCAAGGGCTTTTATCAAGTCTGCTATATTACATTTCAGATTGCAAATTTGCAACCGAGTGTACAGAGTTTTTGTATGACAATATAATATTTTGCGAACCCGGTTTTCTCAGTTCGCTCTCAAATAATATTTGTAATTATAACTCCCCCTTTCTTGTTTCATGGAAACCACTTAACCACTACTAATGTGCAAGTATATTTACAAGACAGAACTGATTAGTTGATAATAGTATTTTATGACATTATTATTATTATTAATATTATTATTAATATTATAATTATTATTATTATTATTATTACTATTAGTAGATAAATGTATACAAAATATATTAAATCTCGTGATTCACCTGTAAGTGTGTATTTGTCATGTTTAATATTAAAAAAAAGGAAAAAATTTAATTTAAATAAATCTATCGATGTATACACGCTTTACGAAGCATAAATCGATGATTCAAAAAGTTCCCTTTTTCTATCTCTACGAAAATCGTTTCTTAAAACAAACTCAATTTTTAACAAACAAAAATTAAATATTATATTATAATAATGAAACGAATTTCGGAGGATAGAAATGTATTACTTTTTTTTTACATTTACATAAATGCTTTTTTCGAGTTTCAATTATTCTATATAGTGGAATTTTTTTAATTATCTATTTTTCAAGAATTTTAATTTATCACTAAAACAATGAATAAAAAAAAAATTGAACACATAAAAAGGTATGTATTAGAAAAAATGGAAATTAAATGTTAATAAAAAATTTATCATTTCCTCCGCGTTATTAATTCATTAAGAGATTGTCGCGATGAAAAAAAAAGAACTAATTGTCGATAAAATCGTTAATTTACATGATTAAATGACGTCAAATTAAAATTGACAGAGATTATTATCATATTAAAAAAAAAAACACCTGGAGGAAAAAATTTCTATCAAAAATTTTAAAATAAATCAATATTACCTATAAAATTGTCGAGCTTGGAATACCAACTAATAAATGATTTTTTGGTGTACATGATTCCGGTACAAGTTTTCCTAAATGAACCTCATAGCCAAATTGTTCAGCTTGAAGCCTGCGATCGGTGTCAATTATTTCCATACATTCGTAACCCTGTTTTGTTTTGACATTATTGACATCGTGTGTTTGATCCGCTGCATGACCAAGAACCATATAACTACGATTATCAATTAAACTTTTAAAAAAATCACTTCTTGGATAAGTGATGTGATGACAATCGTGAACCGAACCATAACAACAGGGACAACAAATAAATGCTGCATTTTTTCGAATGCAATGTTGAATAACTAAATCTGTTGCTACACCGCAAGCGTGTAATGAAGTTCCAATGTTGAAATTACCCTTTAATAGAAAAGAAATTTTATTTAATATTTAATTTAATTTTTTTTTTTATGTAAAATTAAAACAAGAAAAAAAGTTTTCTTACCTTAAAATAATCTAAATTACATTGATAGAATTTGACATTTGTTAACTTCAATTTTTTCACTCTCTCTTTGGCTTTATTCAACGATTCTTCCTTATTTTCTAATAAAATCACTTTGCACCGTGGCAATAAATAAGCAATAATTATCCCTAAATGTCCACCTCCTGAGCAAAAATCAACAATAATATCATTATCTTTTGCGATACTGATAACAGGTTTACAAAGATTTTCTAATTGCTCGAATTTTCTCTTCAATCGACTAATAGGCAACGCTCCACCCTCGGGAGTTGCGTCAAATGGTATCAATGACCAATCAAAATTATTTTCCCCAGCATAAATAACACCCGTCAATGATGTATTTACATTTGCATTTCTTATTATTCCCAATGAATTATCTATATCCTCCTGCCTCGTAAATATCCGATTTCTCGGCTTATATCTCTTTGGATCACTTTTATATAGACTTTGATTTTGAACAACAGGAAGAGTATAATTCCTAGTAATATCACTTTTTATCACCTTCTCATTATCCTCCTCTAATGATAAAATTGTCAAACATTCAAAAATCCTCTCGCCTTGAATCATTCTCATATACCACTTGTAAGTAAGTGGTAAAAGTTTAATAATTCCCTCATTCCATATTCTCATAATATTCATATTATCAAAGAAAATATAAATACATACAAATATTATAATATCTGCCAATGAAATTGTTGAACCCTCAGCGTAAATGTGTTCAGGAATTTTTTTTTCATTTTTATTTATGTACTTATAGATATTATGTAAACGCACTGGTTGCGACATATGACATTCAAATCTCGCTAAAGTTATTGGTAATTCGTCATTGATATCAAAAAATTTAAGAGTTGAAATAATATCAACTTCACAAAATTTTGTCCATACACTTGTTTCTGAACAGGCGAGTAAACATGATTTTTTAAAGCCCAACAAACATTGGTTTTCAGCATTTTTTTTTAATGATCCTTTTACTATTTGTCGTAAAGTTGCGCAAAGTCCAGCAATACAACTAAATTCATTGACAACAATATGTGGCAATGCACAAGAATTCCTAGTGTCTTGAATAGGAGAATTCTCTTCTAAAATCTCATAGCGAAAACTTGAAATATCGAGATTGTAAAATTTTTCCTTTCGCGATTGATCGCTATTGCCTTTTATAAATTTAATTTTTATATCAGAATCACAATATTTTATTGTAAATAAAGTGACTATTGTCTCTATTGGAGCGACATATGCCTCGGACAATTGAAACAATTCTAAAAATACTTGATTCAAATTTTCAGACGGCATTTTAATTGGAATGATGATAGTAATATTTTTAATTTTTATGCACTCGCTCTCAATTGTCTTGCAACTTTTCGAATTATCCGCTGACGGAGAATATTTTCCCTCCAAAATACACTGAGACTGGATATAATTGCAAAAGCTAACATTAAAATTTCAAATTTCCAAAATGCTCTTTCTTCCAACCATGCTACTTTGTCGCAACTAGAATTAATTACAATTAGCTTTAAAAAAATATTCTACAATTAATAAATTACAATAATATACAAAAAAAAAGCTTTAAAATAATAGTTTTCTAATTAAATTTTCCATAATTTTACCTTCTTGTCACAGTTTCACCACTTTTGCATCGTATAATTTCTTTGTATCGCATATGAATACAAATTCCTATACTTTTACTAGCAATCTCGAGAGAAGTACAAGGTTGACATTCATCAATAATTTCATAAGTTTCTCCATTTAAACAAGATGAATTATTTTCGAAAACTTCAACAAATGGTTTACTTGTTGATGAATCTGTCCAATGACTCTCGACAATAAGGACCAAAATTGTTAACCTAAAAATAGAAAAAAAATTTTTATTATATTAAAAGAAAAGTAAATAAAATTAGATAAAATAAAAAATAAAGTCGATAAAACTATAAATTCAATTAATTAGAGAATTTAATAAATATAAAACATTTTGCTACAAAATACCTACCCTCCTAATAATGTAATGACAAATAACATACGTTTTTTCGTACAAAATTCAATCATTTCCGGTTATCACTTTCGTGATTTATATTTATTAGTCATAAATTTTGATTTTTATTAACTTACGTATTTTATACCAGAAAAAAATAATATATATATTTTTCCAAAAATAAAAACACAAACGTAACAATTTTTTTAGGTTATGTACATACTGCATGCAAGAAGCAAGAATTTCCAAAGTCATACAATACTGCGCATGTGTCAATATAATTGAAGGCTCTCATATTTATTAAAAAATTATCTTCTTTTTGAAAAAAAATATAAATAAAATTTAATTTACTTAATAAAAATATAATTGTTTGCATAATATGTAAATTAAATTATTTATATTGCAATAAATAAAATATATATATGAATTTTAAATTCACGCGCGGATAAGAAACCAATGAACGTCATTCCTGTGACGCATGTGCTATTTAAAGATAATATTTTGGAAGCGCGCATGTTATAAATAAAATCTTAGAATAAATGGTGCACATGGATAATTAAACTTTAAACTCTTTTTATAATTATTTTTTATTACTATACACATTTTTATAATTATATTTCTTGAAAAGTTTATTTATATTTTAATTTTGGAGATTATTAAAATAATAACAGGAACCATTTTTAAGTGTAACAATGGCTCAATTTGGAAACGTTGTAAGTATGATTTATAAATAAAGTATTAATTTATCATTAAATATATAATTAAAAGTGTAAAAAATGTTTTAATATATACTAATTTATTAATTCTTTAATTACTATTTTTTTATTTTTAACTAACTTTCTATTTTTACCAATTTTAATATTTGAGGTTATAAAAGAAACGTTAATGAACTTTCAGAAAATTTAAGTATTAATGATAATTGAATTAAATTTCTAATTTAGAAATGGAAATATTTTTGAAAATAATTTAATTTATAGTCAGCTGATCAATTAATGGCCGGTACCAGTGTTTTGTCTCGACCTGCTGATGAATTCGACAACGATGTAAGTAAAAATAATAATTAAATTATATATTTATTATTATATGAGAAATATTAACTTTTCTTAATTAATTTTTCAGCCTTCTGTTGAAGCAATGTGGGCTATAAAAGCTTTCGAGCATGCTGAAATTTATTTTAATGTAAGATTAATATAATTATTTAAATAGATTAATTAAAAATTACCTATATAAAAAAGGAAACACAAAACTAAATTATATATTTTTGTATTGCAGATCTTGTGCTCGGTGGATCCAAAATTATTGAGATTAACACCACACGATGATCAAATTTATAAAACATTTCGCGAAACATTTCCGAATCTCAAAGTGGACGTAATTAATGAAGAAGAGTTGAAATCCGAAGATGGGAAAATAATGTGGAGACCATTTTGTGATAATTTTAAAAATGTTGTTGAAGACTATAGTTTTGGCACTCTTTTACGTTTAAATTGCAAGGAAGACTACACGGAAAGTAATAGTATTTTAACAACAAGAATTCAATTTTACGCTATTGAATTGGCAAGAAATCGTGAGGGTGACAACGATGGAATCAGAGAGAAATTCAAACCTAAAAAGATAAGCAATAACGAAAATAAATCGTAAAAATAAATTTTATATATTTAATTTTAGTTATTCTATTTTTTATTAAAATGAAAAACATTTTTCTTTTTTGTACACAATTTGTATAATATAAGACTAGTATATATTTTTTTACAATTATTATCTAATTAAAAGTTACAAATAACATTAAAAACAAAAAAATTAATGTTTTAAGATTTCTTCTTTTTATTATTAGTTAATTTGAAACTAAGCAGTGGATTTGCTGATCTTGCTGCATATTTTGATTTTGCTGCAGTCGCTCCAGTCGCTGCGAGATTTCTATCGAATTTCCTTTTTCTTCGTCCTAAACCCACGAGTTTTTTCAATGAATTCGGCACTAAATATTCGGGAACATCTTTTAAATGTGGTTGCAATTTAACTGTATGCAATGCTTTATCCTGTCGTAAACATTGTAAATCACGTGGATTTTCTTCAAAGTGACTTTTCAATTTTTCACAGCTTAAAACTTCTTGTTTGATTTCCTTAAGTCTAGCCTCGCGAACTGCTATTCTGGTAACGGCCTTCCATGCATCTTTCGCTCGATATCTGAAATTTATTATTATTTCGTTTGAAAATAGTTTTTTTTTTAAATTCAAATTCGAAAATAATTTTTTGTTAAAAAAAATGAACTTACCGAAAGCCTTCAACCTCGTCTAATTTAAATTGATACGTTTTGAAGAGAGTATCACGATTATATTCCTGTTTTAATTCCTTGTCAACATTATCCATTAGTTCTCGCTCACGAATTGACACCAAACTCAAAGCAGATCCTTGATTTTTACCACGAGCTGTGCGACCTGCCCGATGAATATAAGAATTCACGTCCAATGGAAAATCAAAATTTATCACATTCGAAACAAATTGAAAATCAATACCACGTGCTACTCCCGATTCTTTGTCTTTTTTGCGTTTTGTCTTTTGTTTCACCATATGAGGCTGTAAAATAAAAAAAGAAATTAATATTGTGTTTAGAGAGAATTTTTGTTTCTAAAATTAATAATTTTACTTCTTCCAAAGCTTGTTCATCGGACGCAATGATAATATCATAAGTTCCAGTATTAAATTGCATAACTGCTCGACATCTTGAACTTGCTGGCAATTCGGAATTTAAAACACATGTCGGTATTCCAAATTGTTCTAAAAACAATTTTAATTTGTAGCAGCGATCCACTGTATTTACAAATATAATACTTTTACCTCTGAAACATTTAATTTTTAATTATTTATCATTAATGATTGTTTTTTTAATATTTTAAATTGTAATTACCGAATTAAATGAAGTTTCAAAAGTGCGTATAAAATTGCAGCTTTATCATTTTCTTCAGCTGCAAGTGTATAGTGAGCGAGTTGCGATGGAGGAGCAAGAGGTGGTTCTTCCAATTTTAAAACTGCTGGATTATGCAATACCAATTTTTTCAGAGTCAAAACATCATTTGATAAAGTGGCGGAAGCCAAAACAGATTGACAAGCTTTTGGTAAATGTTTCAAAACACCTTTTACTTCTTCTTCATAGCCAAACGAAAAGACCTTTACAAATTGAACGTTATAATTTTTTTTTATAAAATAAAAACATTACTTATTAATTAGAATTTATAAAAATACAAACCAAATCGGCTTCATCGATAATTAATGTTTCGAGGCTATTTTTTAAATTTAAATTGCCAGCATTGATATGCTGTAAAGTTCGTCCTGGAGTACCGACAACAATATCGGGACATCTTATTAATAAAGGTTTTTGAACATTTAAATCTTCTTGTGGACTGATATCGACTTTTGTCACTTCACGAGAACATTTTGTCGTTAACATGTCAATTACTTGTGAAATTTGTTTGCATAATTCTTTAGAAGGCGCGAGTATGAGACCTTTTACCTCCTGATGACTCTGACTTTCCTTTCTGGTCAATATTTTTTGAATTAAAGGTATTGAAAATGCACCAGTTTTTCCCGAGCCAGTTCGTGCTCTTATCAAAACATCCTTTCCATCCAATAAAAGTGGAATTGTTTTCTCTTGAATGAGAGTTGGTTCTGCCCAACCTAATTTTGCAATTGCCTAAAAAAAAATTACAATAATTCTATACATTATTACATATAAAAATATGTTTCTTTCATTGCATTAAAAAAAAAAGATAAATTATTAAGCGAGAGAATTACATTACGTATAAATTAATAATGATATAATTATATTTATACAATATGCGAGAAGAAATTAAAAATTCAAAAACAAATCTAAACAAAAAAAAACATGACATAACCTATAAAAAATAAATTCAATTTAACTGGTTACTTACTTTTAAAATTCTATCATCTATTCCCATTTCGTGAAAATGTTGAATTTTCATTTCATCTTCCTCTGATTCTACATCCATTGTAGTATTCATTGTAAAAAAAAAAAATACTAATTAAACTAGATAATAAATTATTATTTACCACGTGTGCCAAGTAGTGCCTGTCTCTTTCTAACAGGAAACAGGAAACTTACCCTGAAGTTAGTCAATAAAGGAAAATTTCCAAAAATGACCGCCATCACGAGAATATGACAGCTTTTTCATTTTTTTAGTTTTTACAATTATTTAACAATATAATAAAAAATTGAAACAAAAAAACACATTATTTTATGTTTTTAAAAAAATTTTCAAAATATTACGATTCCCATAGATAATTTATAGAAAAAATAGAAATTAATTAATGTTTATTTTTATGATTAGGAGAAATTTTCATAAATGTCAGAAATTTACTGCATTTTTAGATGGTAATTTTTCCGTATTTTAGTTTACAAAACAAAAAAATATAAACAGAAAACTTTTTTCGTTTTTCATTTTTAGTAAAGAGTTTTAAAAATAATTTTTCTTAATTTAAAATAAATTCAATTAGTTTATTTATAATTTAACGATCGATATTATGAAAAGTGATATAATAATTCGTTACATAACCACTGATCAAATCAAAATCACAAACCTTTTAAATTTAGAGAATTATCAAATATAATATTTAATTTTTATAGCAATTTTTTTAAAGCAAATACTTTTTTAGTAAATTTGTAATTAAAAATTCTTGACAACTATTTTATTTATATTAAATATGTGTTAATTAAATGTAATTTATAAATTCAAGTTTGAAATTTGCCGCACTTTTGTCGGCCATTTTTAACTACTTGAAACGTTTCATAACCTCATTTCCTGCTGTGTGTAGCCAAATAGCAGCAGAAGACGCGAGCGCTATGTGTGCGCCTAGTAACATCAAAAAATCTCCCCGTTGTTCTCAACTGCCGTTGATTTATATTCTTTGTTGTGATATTCTTTAAAATTTCGTTAACGCCCAATTTCGGAAAAATTTGTAGTGTTTATCTAAAGTGTTTTTGGTGATTGCTCGCATATTTTGTCCCCCTATTGGAGGTGGTTTAAAAAGCTGTGCTTGCTCGCGCGTACAATCGGTACTTGTGTCACGTGGTGGCCACCCACGTTTCAGATTGTGGGTAAACAAGGAGGATAGAAAATATTTGTGCGTGTTGCGGGGAGCGGCAAAGTACAGTGATCGGGCGAGTATACACGTTCGTCGTCGTTTGCTTTGGTGCGGTGTGTTGTTAGGGCCGGCCATAACCGTGTTGTGTACGGAAAATTTCGTCTCTTCACTCGACCACGATGTCCACGTATTCTCGCACGCAAGAAAGCGACGCGTGGGCGCTTTTGGCACTCAAATCCGCGCCGGCGAGTCCTTTTTCCAAGGGAACACCCATCGCAAGACTCGAGGGTCGTGAATTTGAGTATATGGTACGCCAGCGACGTATCACCATCGGAAGAAATAGCAGTAAAGGCCAAGTCGACGTCAATGTGGGCCATTCTAATTTCATCTCCAGGCGGCACCTAGAAGTTTTTTTTGATCATCCGTACTTCTTTATGACCTGCAATGGCAAAAACGGAGTTTTCGTCGATGGGGTTTTCCAACGTAAAGGAGCACCCGCTTTTCAACTGCCAAAGACGTGAGTCGTCCCGACCTTTCCCCCCTGATTCCCCCCTTGCCACCTGAACACCTCATGGTCGACCTACTTCCCTTATAAATTTTCAGCACTTGAAGCAAATTCAAAGTCTAAATTAACTTTTAGAATACAAAAGATTTGTTTTGAAAGATTTTTTTCTTACTTTCAATTTGGATTTAGTCATGTTTGTGTTTTGAAGGAAGAGGTTAGCAAAGTTTAGTAATGGCCTGGTAAGAGATGATTATTTCTGAGATACCCGGTATTTATCTCGAAAATGTTATGGTCAGATTGCACAAAATGACTAAGAATTCGTTAAGATTACGTTAACGGGTTGTTGGACTTTATCAACATCATTTAGATGATTAAAAAAAAAAAAAAATAGATTTATACTTGTTCTATTTGTACACGATATTTTCCGATAATTTGTTTTCATTTGATTTTTTTTGCCACGAAAAAAGGCTTTGTTTTGAATATTTATAGTTTGTAAAAGTAAACTCAATTTCACTGATATTTGTAAACACGTTTTTGTTCCAATTTCGAATAATGTTTAAATACTTATGTAATTTTATTATAATTTTTAAAAATTTTAATTTGTAATTATAAACAAAGTATTTTATAATTGTCTATCTCATAATATCAATTCTAAAGTAGAAAGATTGCAATAAATATTAATTTAAACTTAACGTTCTTGTATATATAAATCAATAAATCATATTTAGAGGTTAGGAAAGTCAAGAAAAAAATTTTTCAGACTTTGAATTTGCTTTGTAGTATAAAAGAATTAAATGAAAAAATGTTAACTAATTCCTTTAATGAATTCAACAATTTGTTATATTCTATTTTTATTTTAAATAATAAAAGAATATATTATAAATTTAATAATTTACAAAGACAAACATAACGAGATTGAAACTTTGTTGTTATAAAACGATAGAAATATTGCATGTATACGTCATCAGTTATGATGAAAACAATATATAGTAATAGTAAACAGTTAATATTACAATGTGACGTATTTGCTCTAATTGTATAAAGCTTTCAATTTTTATATAATTTATTATTTCTCTTTTCTTTTTAATAATTTTTTAATTGAAAATTAATCATACGCATAGGAGTAAATTATTATTTTTAATTTTCTAAATAAAAGGTTTTTTTTTAAATTCATATTCTAATAAAACGTTTACGTCAGAATATCGTCACTAAATATAATAGTTGATATGAATATTCTCTTGTTCATACATTGATTTAATTGTTATCTATTATGATTAATTATGTTTAATTATCCAACTTATGGAATATTTGGATTCATTATTTAGTATTTAAACATATTATAAATAACTTAATGTGTAAATTAAAAAATTTTCTGATTATTACTGTTATATTATTGTTTTAGTAGTAAATTATTTACAATTTAAACTTTATTTATATTTACTTTCTTTTGAAAGAGAAAGAAATGCATGTAAATTTAGTAAACAATAATAATAAATAATAATAATAAATAACGAAAATTGACAATATACAACGTCTCTTTAAAATCAGTCTTAACTGTAAATAAACACTACCCTTGATTATAATATTATTGATCCATCCTTGTCAGATCAGTATACAGCTTAAAAGCCATGAATTTGCTGTTCATTTCCAGTTATTCTTATAACTTTCAAGGCTACTTATCATGAGTATGAATTAGGTATTCTGTGATCAATTGTTGCCATATTAGGAAATCATTTATGATTCATTTTCCAAGCATTATCATATTTTTTATAATAATTTATTATCAAGAAAATTTTCATTAACATTTATTTAATTTTTTAGGTGATAAAAATTTGAAAAAGAGGAAAAAAAAAATTATTTTTACACCACTGTTTATATACATATGAAAATAATTATTTATGATAAAGAAAAATATAATAATAAATGAATTGAGATAATTTCAATTTTTACGAATTTGATAAAAACTGATAATTCTTAGTTTTTACATTTTTTTTTCTACCTAATATTTATTTTTAAAAAAAGAAATTAATTTCGTATCAAAAAAATACAATTTAAATTGCCCAATGAACGATTAAAAAAATGTGAGAAAAAAATTTTTAATTTAATGTTAAAATATTATATTTTATTTTACAGGTGCACATTCAGATTTCCGAGTACAAATATAAGGCTCGTGTTTCAATCGTTAGTTGATGAACAGGAACAAGGGAATGTTCGTGTGCCTTCACCGCCAAGGCAGAGAGCACCTTTGCCACCATTACGTATTAATATTCCTGACACCGGATACAGTAGCCCATTTCCATCACCCACGGGGACAATTAGCGCGGCAAATTCCTGTCCAGCGAGTCCGCGCGCTGGCCAAGGGAGACGAAATATATCGGCGGACTTGCAAATGGTCGCTGCATATGCAGCGGCTGTTGCAAATGATCCACAAAATTCAACAAACGAGAGACACGATGGACATGGAGGAGGTGGTGGAGGTGGCGGTGGACAAAGTACAAGTCGAATGATGAGTCCAGAACCAGGAACTGAATCACGTTATCGCGGTGGAAATAATTCTGGTGCTAATGGAACGTCAGCACGTTATAGTCCACCAAAAGATGAATCAAAACCACCTTATTCTTATGCCCAACTTATTGTTCAAGCAATTGCATCGGCACAGGATAAACAATTGACATTGTCTGGCATTTATTCATATATCACCAAGAATTATCCATATTATCGAACAGCCGATAAAGGTTGGCAAAATTCAATTAGACATAATCTATCATTGAATCGATATTTTATTAAAGTACCAAGAAGTCAAGAGGAACCTGGCAAGGGTTCATTTTGGAGGATAGATCCACAATCAGAGGCGAAACTTATTGAACAGGCATTTCGACGTAGGAGACAACGTGGTGTTCCTTGCTTTAGAGCACCATTTGGACTTTCTTCGAGGTCGGTTTTTTTATTTTAATTGAAACAAATGTAATTTTTTTTAGATTCGATAGATTTTATTTTTTCAAATTATGAATATGGAAACATATAAATTGCCAGCAATTTAATTAGTTATCTTTCAGTATGTAATTATAAATAATTACAATATTATTTTTAATTTTTTTTCTCTACAAATTTAGAATTGTATTATTAGTTTTTATGTGTTTAATTATTGAAATATATTTCCTCCAAAGATCAGAATTGCAAAAAAAATGTACAAGGAACAATATCAAAAGTGTATAGGAGAAGTTTAAGGAAAATTTTTAGAAGCACCCGCAACTTTAATTCACAGTTTCAAATAGAGGTTTTGAGAAATAAAAATTATTCTAGACTTATTTTTATCGTTACATTTATGTATATATAGAAAAAAAGTAATGAACAGAATGATTTTTTTTTATTTTCGTTTCATGTTTGATTGTATTTGTTTTCTAAGTAAATTTTTGTGTAAACAGGAGTGCACCAGCATCACCATCTCACGGTGGAATCAGTGGCTTGATGACACCAGAGTGTTTAAGTAGAGAGGGTTCACCTGGTCCAGAATCATATCCGGATAGCTCTGTTCCTTCTCCAGCTGGACAACTCACAAGTCAATCAGCTCCAGGATCACCGGGACATCCTTATGCTCCACCTCCTCACAAGGGTCGTCTTATGCAACAAATTACAGTTGTTACTAATGGTGTCAATAACGATTCAGCAAGAGAAGGTGAGATTTAATATTTTTATATTTGAAAATGGTAAGAATAAATTTTTTTGAGATTGAAAATAATTTATAAATTCAAAATTTTCGATTTTCCTTAATTAAGAAAGAAAAAATGTAAATGATATTATATTTACCTTTTATTAATAATTTTAATTTAAAAATTCAAAGCGAATAAAAGAAATTAAATTAAAAAACACAAATTATATACATTTAAATAAAATGTGTAAACTGAATTTAATTGGAAATTTTTTTTAGATAAATATTTGGTGCCTGGGACCGTAGTGGAGGAACATTCTTTGTCTCCGTCTGGACAATATAGTCCAGCGCCTGTTATTGTACAAACGACTTATAATTACAGGTATTTAATTAGTTTTTAAATAATTATAAAATTTTTTTTTACATTATGGTTTTTATCTATTTTATTTCTATTTTAGCAATATTTTTTACAGTTATCAGAATGGCCACAGATCGGGGAAAATATATTTTACAGATGATTAATTTAAATATTTTTCTATTTTAAAAATTTAATTATTTATGTGCATATTTAATTAATTTACTATTATTTTTAGTGGGAGCTTTATTGGCCCTGAATCAGGTGTTGGGGTGGTTAAACGTGCTCATGAAGAACCTGACAGCTCGCCAGGTTCACCGGCTCCACTTGCCATTGTTGAAAGTCCTGAACCACCTGAACATCAACAGTCGCAGCCGAAACGCCAACGCGTTCACGACTCAGATGATCATTGAATTATCTAGAACCTTTTCTATGTAGGATATTGTTATATTAATTCACGTGTCGTTAGATGATTCGCCCATTTCTTCTTCCACTTTAATCAAGTGTGTATATATTACATATATATATATAATTAATTTTTTTTTTGTTGTCAAAAATACAAAAAAAAAAATTCTTTTTTCGTAGAAAATTACTTTAAATGTCTTATTTCATTTTGAAAGAAAAGAAATTAAATTGAAGAAATTGAGTTTTCTAAAAAAAAAAAAAAAATATTTGTAGAAATTTAAAGTTTATAAAACTTTTTTAGTTCTTAAAATATATTTTCCTATTAAATGCGGGTTTAAAAAAAAAAATAAGATTGGCTTTCATTTTCTTTTTGGAAGAAGAGCGGCTAATACATCTGAGATTTGCGTAGAGTCCTTAACCCACAATTTATTCTCTGCAAAAACGATCAAGTTGTTGTTACATAAAAAAAATTATAACTGCTGAAACCGGTTGCGTGTGCTTGTAATGTTTATTGAAAAATATTTTCAACACTCAAAGTTATATACAGACTTTACATCGAGCTCTCATATCCCCCCCCCCTCTTCTCACCCCCTACCCTCCCAAAGTCAATTTTCTGTCGTTGAGTTGGTCGATAAAAGAAAACAATTTTTATCCCTAGATTATTAGTGATTAGATATTAATTTTGAGACTTGAATTAAATCTTGTCAAACAACAGTGAGAACGCAATTATAATATGTGCATGGCGAATTTTTTTTTTGTTTTTTTTTTTTCATAGCGATTCATCAAATTTTTTTTTCTGTTAGTTTGTTCTAATTTATCTAGATTAACTAACGTACAATTCGTAGATGCTTTTTCAATATTATTGGCATTTCGGGATTCTCAAAAAATGTCAGTGGACATTTTCATTTTGAATTGAAAATAGACAAAAGTTTTTGAATAGAAAAAAAAACTTTTCTCTCCTCTTTAAAGAAAAAGATATTTTTCTTATTTAAGAAATACATATTTTTCTTCATCTCTAATTGTTTTTTAAATGAAACAATTCTTTTTCTCAACAAAAAAATGTCTGATTCAAAATAAAAAAAATTGACAATTTTTGATAAACAACTATTTCTAGTTAAAGAATTTTTTCTTTTGAAAATTTTCCATAAAAAAAGTAATTTCTTATTCGATTACTATATTGAGAATAAGATTTCCCGTATTATTGCCAAATACTTTCATAATGTGCCTGTCTACTCAGCAAAATGAAAATAAAAATTTATTTCTCTTTATGACGATTTGAAAAGAACGTTATATTTATTTTTATTTCTCTTGAAAAGAGTTTAAAAAAATATATAGTTTTTAGTAGTGAGTTAAGAGATTTTATTTTTCTCTTTTTTTAACAAAAAAAAAAAAAAAAAAAAAAAACACTATTAATATAAAAATTAAAAAAAAATCGTAGAGAATAAAAGATATATTTTGTATTTCTCAGACAAAATAAACCGCTGAGTCGACTTTTAACAATGATGCGAATCACATTTTCGAATGTAATAATGTTTAATCGTAAAAAAAACACCAAAACGCTGTTTATATATGTTTAGGTAAACATCCACCTAGACTTAAACAATTTATGTTCTTATAGAAAAAAATATGTAAGTCTGACACACACACATACACACGTAGGAATTTAAAAAAGAAAATAATTTGCTTTTACGACGTATCTCACCCAGTGTTCTAGTTTCTCCTTACGCGCTAAATTTGTCGAATTTAATTGACACATTTTTTTATTTTTTTTTGACAACATAGTCAAAAAAAAAAAAAAAAAAAAAAAAAAATGTGGAAAATTTATTGTGATTGACATACCTATATATATACTTATATAAATATACGGGAATGAAAAATTTTGTAATTTTTTCTGCCGAGTAAATATTATTATTTGTTTTATAAAAGAAAATATCTTTTTTTTCTATATTTATTTAAATTATTGTCTATTCAATTTTTACACAATTGATCCAATTTTTTAATTATATTGTAAGATTTTTTGTCCCTCTCCAAACCTTAGGGAAGAAAAAAATGTTTGAAGATCATACAAAAAAAAAGCTTTAATTTTATTAAGTTTTTAATTAAATTTATTCTTAAACAAATGCTTATTATTTGGCAGAAAATAATTATTTTTTTTTTTTAAATTATTCATAAACACGAGAGTTTGTCATGGCCGGAAATGAAAGAATAAACGAAAAGAAAAAAAAATGGATTAAAAGGATAAAAAGAAAGAATTAATTTTTAAATCCTTCTCCAAGAGATACGATTTAATTAAAAAATTTAATCTCTCGTTCGAAATTTCAACTTCTGACCAAAGTCCTGAAACCCCGGTCCCGATGTTGTTTTTTTTCAAATATTTCTTAATTGTACTATATAGAGCTAAATAAAAAAAATATATATACATACGCATTCGTCTGTGTATGTATCAATGATTATATATAAATATATTATATATTAAAAAAATATATATTATGAATATTAGGTTTAAAAAAAAAAATAGAGAGCTCCAAGTGCGCCTCTTAGGTCCCGAGAGAGAAAAAGAGAGTAGAGGAAAAAAAATAAGAGAGAGATGAAAAAAACGGAAGTTTCCAGTTCCGTACCCTTTTCTCTTCTCCCCCTATAATGCCCCCCTCCCCCTTCAATCACCCCAACCCACACTTCCTGAATCACGGGAAGACCTCAGGAAGCGATATTTAAAATATGAGCGACGTGTTATCGTTTATTATAATATTATGTTTTTTCGCAGGCAAACAGGCCTTGATCGAGTTTTTTTTTATAGAAAAATTTATAATGCGCTAAGCGATCTATATTTTTGTGACGGCATAAAAAAAATGAAAAGAATGGAAAGAGCGCACGATTAAGCGCAAATTGTATAATTATCTAAAGTCTAATAATTTATGTTAATTGTGTAGCGTGTAAGGATTGGCTGCTGATTAATGATCTCCGATTATGTTTTTTTTTTTTTTTTTTTAAGAATCGAAGCCAATCGGTGTCGATCAACCCATTTTTACAAAAAAAAAAAAAAATCCTTAAAAGTCGTTTACTTATTTTTTTTATTTAACATTTCTAATCAGAAAAAAGCTGAACAAAAAATTAAAGTAAAAGAAAGATTATTAAAAAAAAGAAGGAAGGAAAGAAAAAATATATTAAGAAAGCCAAAAGAATAAAGAACGAAAGAAAAACGAAAGGTAGAGAAAAATTCGAGAAATGATATTTTTTCTACAAATTGTGAAAAAATGTTATTTCTCCATTAATAAAAAAAAAAAAAAAGAAAATTATATAAAAGCGTCAGTATTTGTTTTTGATGGAAAGAGGAAAAAAAAAAGATTGTTTATATTTTATACGTGGATGAAACGACAAGTTGCGTGAATGCCGCGAGAGTTTAATAAAAGAAAATTTACGTAAAAAAAAAGAGAAACCAGAAAGAATGTACTATTTGACTAATTGTAACATTTCATTAATTATACTATTCTACGTATTTATTGAATTGCACTTTGTTAAACATACAATGGAAAAAAAAACCACCTAAAACTTCGTAGCGACGCTTGTACAAAACAAAAGTTTTTTTTTTTTTCTTTAACGTTGTGTGTGATCGAGCTGAGAAAAAAACGAAGAAACAGAATGAAAATGAAGACAAAATGAAAAGATCGTCAATAACAAATCTGTTCGCCTGTGACAAATAAAAAAAAAAGAAAAAAAGTGAAACTTGGGACGGGATTACAGAAATCTGTCGTATTCATGAACAAAAAAATTTGTAATAATGTCTCTTTCTTTAAAAAACAAAACAAAAATACGACACATTCTTATATATATAGGTAGATGATAAAAAAATGAAAAAAATATTAGAAAGAAAACATTCAATTTTGACATGATTATATTTGATATATCGAATTTTTTCTCAACTATATCGAGAAAAGCATTGTCCGGAGTAAGAAAAAAATTGTTCAATAATTGAATATATTGTTTACACGATAGAATTACTAACAAATAAACAAACAAAAGAGCAACACTTTTTTCGAAAAGACTATATTATACATATATATTTGTGTAGCAACCATATTATTATTATTATCACTCGTTTATACAAGAAAATAAATATTATCTTGTTAAATATTTCTTTGACAAGTGCCGAGACAAAAAGAAATAAAAAACACATCACGAACAATTGATAATTATAGATAAAAGAAAGCAAAAGAAAAGAAAAAAAAAAAAAAACAGAATCATAAATATTTATTGTTTTCTTTTTGCAAATTTTTATTCATTTGGAGATGCTTTATTGTTGCTATTGCAAAAAAAGAAAAAAAAAAAAAAAATGCGGTATAGACTCACAAGAAATCTTATGCGATTAAGAGACCACAAAACGCGAAATTATGATTGCATGTGCGAGATAGCGAATGAGAAAATGTATGTATGAGAGAAAAAGAGTGAGAGAGAAATAAATTTAAAGGAAACTCGAAAAATTGAAAGAATTGTTTTTAAAAAAAAAAAAATTGTGTATGAGGATTGAATGAATGAGAGAATGATTATGAGACGAAATAACGAAGCTAGTATTCATTTTGGGCTTTCGGAAACACTGAAGAAAATATATAAATTCCGGATAAAGAGAGTTATTTTTTTCTCTCCTTTCTTCTTTTTTATTTTAAGTTTCAATTAATTTTTATTATGTAAATTAAATAATGCAAATTAATTTTTCTAAATTTAATAAGTATTAAATATTTATTACGATATGCATAATAAATTAATTATTGATAATTTTTAATTATATATTGTTATTTAATAATTCATTTTTAATAATGTTATTTAAAAACAATTTTTGTTTTTATTTTAGAAATATTTTTAAAATAATTATTTTGTATAGCAAATATAATTTTAAAATTTTTTAAATTGATATTTTAAGAGTATAATTTTTAATTCTCCACATTTTCAAGTTCTTCTGAGTTTCTGGCAGTAAGTACTGAAAACTCATAAGAAGTCACGGAATTTTGCTTTTTTTTAAGAAGTGAGATATAAATGAAAGGGTGTGAAAATCCCTTTGAGACAGAAATATCATTCCTCATTATACTTCTTTTAAAAATAAAAAATGATACTGTGAAAGATTTTTTCAATTAAAATTATATATTAGATAATATTTTATTTTATAAAAATTATATTTATTGTTAATCCCGGTTTTTTTTGTTAAATATGAATCGCGCCAAGTATTTCAGTTTGTGCGATTGGTTCGTTGAACAATGCACCAATATTCAACTCAATGACAGGCACTTCCGGTTGACATCACACTGTAACGTCTTTGGCAATTAAGGTAAGTTACATTATTTAACACCGTAACGTCTTTGTCAATTAAAGTGAGATACATTATTTAATTAACAATATTTTGTGATTTACGTTTTTTTTTTTATAAATTAATATATTTTTCGGTAAAAAGTATCTATTTCTTAAATATAATATTCTCAAAAATTTTAAGGTTATGCGTTACTTTTTGTCGTTTCTATATGAATTCGATGAATTCTAATTTATTTCTCTTTAAAAATTATTTTCCTAAACTTAAAGATTATATGTATTTAAATTTACTAAATATTTTTTGTTAATTTGTTACGATTAATTATTTCTATTGAAAAAAATCTCGATATCTTTTTGTAAACTTGTGAAAATAATTAAAAAATACCTTTCGTATTTGAATGAATGGCTCCAAAATAGTTTTACTTTGTTGTGTTGGCATTATTGTTCAGATGGCGCTGTCGAACTTCCGGTTGTATGCATCCACTTGAGTCCGTGTCAATTTTGTGTATTTTATTTCTTGAAATGTTTTTGCGGTTATGCTTCTCTCAACATTGGAAGTGATTGTCCAGTCCCAACAACGAATGAAGGCTACAAAAATTTGTTTTTGAGCTGCACAGATGATGCATCTTGAAGAGTTAACTGCCCACTGCAGTGCTTCCAAAAAAATGACCTATATTTATAGACGTTGGCAGCAAGTGCACCCGGCCAATCAGCGTTTAGCTACCATGAAAAGTATCCCCGCCAATCAGCGCGCGGCAGGCTAAGAGCTCGAAGTATAAAAACTGAGCTCCCCACAGCGCACACTCAGTTCCATCTTGGACGTTTCGGAGGGTGGACCTGCGTCGCTTCAAAAAAATTTTAATAATTTTTAACTCATCCATAATTGATTTTTCCCATTTTTCTGTAGTAGAAGAAGAGAATTTAAGGACAAAAGAAAAAAGAAGACCTTTTAAATACCATGAAATTTGACGTGATTTAACGATACAGGTATGAAATATGAATTATTTGTAATTACCATATCGTAAATCAAGATTTATAAGGATATTGCAATTTATTAATATCATTATAATTGTAATTGAGTTCCGTGGTCTTTTTTACTTATATAAATTAATATTTCGATAAAGTTTTTTCTGCATTTTAAGTAAATCGTTCTCCATGAATATGAGGTTAGGTTCCCCCCACCTCCTACTTTTTTTATAATAATTTATGTTTAAAATATGATAAATGTCTTATTTACTGTTTCGCATGTTACTTATTTCTATATAAAAAAAAAATTCTACAATTTGGAAAAAGGTGTGAAAAAATTATTTTGATAGATGAAATATCGGTTTTTATTAAAAATAATATAATTTACGATAATTGCTTTAATGGAATTTTATTTTTCACTTTGAATCGTATTGTTTTTTAGTTGCGAAAAAATTTCATTTTTACTAGGTTGGCAACACTGATGTCGCTTATTTCTGATCGAATGCATTAGGTGGCGCTGTCCGTATTTCTGGTAGTTTTTCCTCTGAGACCGTAATCGTAAACAATTTTGATAATTTCATTGGAATGTAATGTCGAATCAATTAAAAAAGTGAGATAAATTTAATAATTAACAATATTTTTGGTTCAGGTTATATGTATAAATTAATATATTTTTCAACATAATTTCTCCATTTACATCTTTCAATCATCGTCAACTAATTTAAGGTTAAGTGTCACATTTTGTTTCTAATGTATTTAATTCTTGTTTCTTACAAAAAAATATTGTTCGGAACATCAAAAATTTTTATAAATATATTTATTTATTATATTTGAGGTTATGTATTTCGAGGAAATTTTATTTTCATTTATATGTGCATTGTTACGAATTGCATAAATTCCGTATAGTATCGTATTGCGTTCGACGAGCAAATGTATATCAAAGCGTACTTAAAGAAATTTATCAAATCTTTTCGCTTCGTAAATCATCACGCTTTGGTGAAGTTATATATTTTTATATTTATGAGAAAAAGATTCACGCATACGCTTGACAACAGCTGTAAATTGAATGGGAAATTTATCGTTTCACACGTGAAATGCTAACGACAATTCATATAAATAGTGATTTTTGATCGAAGTTGATATTTTATTACAAAAAATTGATTATTCGTAAAAAATTTCGATAATTTTAAGATGGTAAAAAAAGAAAAATGTTCTTTAATTATAAAAAAGAAACATATATTTAGTTAATTATCGTAATTGAATTCAGTGGTGAATCAAAATTTTCTTTAAAAACAAATTTTTTATGTTTTCTTATTGCAAAATTAATAGTTTCAAATTTAGATTAAAAAAACGAAAAGTTTCTGAAACGTTAACAATAATATTTTAACTTAATTAAGATTTATTCTTAATTTGAAAGCTACAGTGTCCCTTGTTTATTTCTTGTTCTCATTTCTCGAGTAAGTCTGGGAATAAAGGGCGCCAGAGGTGGTGAGAAGGTTATATTCCAGCATCTCTATTCTGTGGTCCAACCAACAAGAAGCCCCCAGAGTATCTTGGCGTCTAGAATTGTCTTAGCGCGCGTTCAAAGCAAGAACTGCGCCTTCACAGTACAATCCAACTACCACTACCATCCCCCCCCCCCCCTTAAAACCCCTTTCATAGTCCAGATAATTGTGTAATGTAATTTCGTACTTTGTCGAGACATGAAAAGCAAGAGGTGTGATTTATGAAGCTAAAATCAGTAAATTATCCCCACAGATTTTGCATATGAAGATTTAGTTCTCAAAATTTGCTTGAATTTTGTTGTTTTTGATAGAAATTTAATTTTGTTTGTTTGTTTTACTGCAAGGAGATAAATATTAAGCACACATTAAGAAGTATTTGATTTCTTTATTCATCTATATTTAAAGGGTTAGAAATTCCCAATATGCCGGAGGCTTTTTTTTTTTATCAGACAATCCCAATAATCACAGATTGAAGTAAGTTCCTGTCGACAGAAGCTTTTTCATTTTTCTCCTTTTTTTTTGACAAACAACCTGGGAAATCTTTCGCAGTACTTCAGGGATTCGAGTTACTCGAAAGCTCAAAGCAAGTTTCTTCTCGACAAAACGAAAGAAATGTTATGTTCAACGATATTATATTAAGAATTGAAATAATAAATTGTTTTTTTTCCATATATATATATATATATATATATATATATATTTATATAGAATTTATGTGCTATAAAAATTTTATTACTATATAAAAATTATTTTCATACATACAAATTATAAATTCTATTTTGTGATTGCTTACAGATTTTTTTTAATATTTGACAAAATTTGATAACAAGGGCATTTTAGACATAAAATAAAAATTATTTTTTTTCAGGTACAACATTTTGTGAATCTATCATAATTGATGCAAATTGAAATTTGGACAACCAGCTCAATGATCACCATGATTCAAATGGGGGAAAAAGGTAATTAATTTTTTATAATTAAATTTGCAGAATTAGGTAAAAAAAAAAATTATTTTAGTAAATTTATAACAGAAAAAATGTAGATAAAATTTGTTTTCTATCGCGAACAACATTTTGTAATCAGCAACACAATTCTAATAGAATGATTCATGACTCCTCGAAAGTACTATGGTTGGTATCAATTAAAATCGGATTGGCAAACCGCAAACCGCTGGCACAGGTTGATATCAAGTGACATTTTCACAGATAACGTTAAATTTTAAGCGCTTCTCTCGTGTCGGAGTTGAAATACCTCGAGAGAAATTGATTTCCAACGCGCGTTTATTATAAAGAGTGATCGAACAATATTATTGAATTCGAAATTAAGAAATAGGAAAAAAAAATTTTTTAGTTTCATATTGTCCCTTTTATTTAATTTATAATAATTAATAATTAATGTTTTCAAAAAATTATTAAATTTGCCGAATCATGCATATTATTTTGAGAAAATATCTCTGTATTGATGAAAAAGCATTTCAATGTTACAATTGAAATCTTCTGAGACCAGCAGTGTCTCCCATAACTCTTCTGGATACTAGAGTGTGGTTACTGCTTCCAAGTTCCATGGGGACCCCAGCTGACATTGGAAGCTTTTAGCCGCAAATAAATCCTGTCAGTCGATACCAATACGTAATTGCCAGTTGCTCGGTGGTTACCATTATTGCATTGTGGTTGCAAATAATTCGAAAGCTTTGTTGACTTTATCATACATATATTATTACACTAACTTGAAAAAGATTTTATTTTAAACATTTTTTACATTCCCATTCTCTTGTTTATAAAAAAAAGGAGTTATATTTTTTTTACAATAAATTAAATGTTTTTGTAAATTTGAATTTTCAATTTTATTAAATTGCATTTATTTAAAAAAAATAAATTACGGAAAATAATTTATTATATTGTATAGTAATGTAGAATTATTTAAATTAATTTATTTTCAATTTGATCAGTAATTTGACTTTGTGACGTTACATATTATGGCGAAATTCTAATGTTAAATTGCATTCTAGTTGATAAATACATAGAGTGCAGAATTAGGTTTGTGCGGTATTAATTAATAATTAGTAATAGTATATACCTTCACTAACTTCAAATTGAGTATAAATAATCCTCGCTTAGGATAATGTTACAACTCAAATTATATTCTAAAATTATCCCGGGCTTTCAAACAATTTAACATTTACTCTACTTTATTTTAGTTAAAAAAAATTCTATTTTTACAAATTTCATAGATTCTTGTAGATTTTTTCACGCAGAATTCGAATCTGACCTACAAAATGATCAGGATTTTTTATATTAGCTTAACAAATTGTTTTTCATTTTCCTAAATTGCATCAACATAAATGAAATTTTGCATTGTAATCAATGTTTTAGAAAAATAAATTCTAAAACTTTTATTTATTTTCTAGATAAACGGAAGAAATTTGCCAAAAAAAAAAATGAGGATTGATTGACTGTGGATGATTTTCTACTACATACATAGTTATACTTTGAAGAATTACGTCTCTCTTCAACCGGAAGGAAATCGTGACTGCAACTATCAGAAGGGTGATCGTCGCAAAGCATATTGCTATAGTAGTAAGCAGTAAGTAGTCACGATTCTATATACCAGTGAATGTACTATTGTATTTGTGTGTAATAATACCCTAGTAATAGTAGTAAGGGAGATCGAAATAGAAAGGGGGATTGGAGGGGAAGGGGTTGGAGAGGGAGATGTAAGCGAACATGAGCAACGTCAGCGTGCAAGCAACCATTGGTATGGATCCTTACGGGCGTTTAATCCGTAATGGCTCGAACGTACGTGCTGGGACTCCGATAAAACCGGACGTAATGTTCTGCAGGGTTCGACGTTCGATGGTCTCGGCTTTCCATTGTCCCGGTACATATATATGCTCAGTTTGCTTCAAAACACCATCTAAAAATCTCAACCTGATAAAGAATCTATCTTACAAAAAAAACATACACAACTCTACAAATCGAATTTGAAATTTTTTTCTCGTTTAATTTTTACATCTTGAATTTTATTTATATTATTTGAATTTGAGTATTTTATTCATAATTGGATATTAATTGGCTTTTGGATACTAGGAGAAGGTAAATTTCCTTTTTTCAAAATTGGATATTGTTTTGTTTTTGATAGATACTAGAAGAACGTAAATTTCAAAGTTGAATTTATTGTTATTAAAAGCAGAAGAAATAGCAAACTTTAAGTTTAAACAGAAACTATTCT